TGTCATAGCGTCTAAAGATAATTTTTACTGATTTTTACTGTTGTTCTACACTATTTTTATTTCTGTATTATTATTTTTAATTTTGATAGCTAACTGAAAAGTTTTTACGAGGAAAATTGGAATAAAAGAATTTTACGTCTTTACAGAACAACTATTATATTTAGACAGCGCTTGTGACATCCTTTTAAAAAACAAAAAACAAATTAATTTTCTTTTTTACAGTATGACCATACATATTAATTTCGTGCCTATTCGGCTACATTAACCCTTGGCTATTCTATTCACAAAGCTATCTCTAAAAAATCACCACTCCATTTCTTGTATTTGTCATAGTATAAGATAAAATTGAAGAAAGACAGACGCCGAAATTAAAAGCACTATTATCACAGAAGGATATTGTATATATTTATATATTTACGGTATATATTATAATTTACATTTTAACATTATGTCTCTCTGGTATAATTTATTTATGTATATGACTGAGACTACTGATCTATATATATATATATATATATATATATATATATATATATATATATTTTTAATGGATATTTTTAATAAAATATAACATATGTTAATATCTTTTAATCTATCAATATATTTAATATCAGAATTTATTACTTTCAAATACAATTATGTATATTATTCTATTTCATTCAACATGCCCCCTTAACATTTTAATTTAACATGTATTTAAGAACTAAGTAATTAAGAACATCTCTAAACATTTTAAGAAAACTACTTTAAAAAAAATATTAATATTACTTACTCACTGAACTATAACTATTACATTTAAAAAAAAACTTCTGTCTTAAAATAAAATAAAATTTTGTATTGCCCCCTTAATTTTGTGTGTGTGAACTAAGAAAAAAATATATAAATAAGAAAATTTTACATTTCCAAATAGAATATCAGCAATTTGATGCTCAGAGGGGCAATAATTTTGATATATGACTTTTTCGTGTTTATAATGATATCAAATCAAATTCAAAAATCATTTTAATTCAATGAATTGTATTTTTATCTACATAAAGCGCTTTAACTCTTCATTTTACATTATAATTAAGTTTTTTAGGTACATTAACTCCTAACGTCAGTATATATTCGGATTATGATGACATGGCAACTTGAGAAGAACTCTTGATGACCATGTAATAGGACTCACATAGAAAGATTATATAGCCTTTGTGCTCTTTCTTGTATGTGGAATCATTTATAATCAGCATCACATATATAGCTTCTAAATGATTACTGTTATAAAATTTAATATGAATTCGATGTCCCTAGCAGGAACCTTAATATTCGTTTTCCATTAATGACATCTTGCTTTGTTGGTTTTTCCACTCGTCTACTACAAAAATTGATCGTTATAGTTTTATTAGCAACATAAATAGCGACCCTATAAGTTCTCTGTAAAAAATGATTTAAAAATCAGTCTCTATTTTGTTTTGATGCACATTTATTTAAGGGTAATTTTAGCATCTTTCATTTCAAATTTATTTATTATTTTGTTAATGTAATTTTCTTGTGTTAATGTAATATGAATTTTCATTTTTATTCATTTCTATTCCCAGAAATAAACTAGGTTCTGTATTTTTCAAATTCAATACTTAACATTTCTTTTTTATATTTTCCCATGAGTATTCCAATATTACATGAATATTTCATTTTTAAACAAACATTGTTTTTTATAGAAATAAGTCAAGATTTTTTAAATATGATGTAAATCTCTCGTTGAATATATAATGATAGAGTGATTTTTTTAATTTTACATTTGATTTTTCTCTGTATCTATATATCTTCCAATAACTCTCATATAAAAAAGCAATGTCAAATTGCATAATATTGTAATTTTTTGTATATGAATATATTGCTTTAATACTTGTATTTATTGCCCCACTGGACTACGTTTCCATATAGAGAGTTGACAACCTTTTACTACTAATAACTGATAGCGACCACTTTCCTTAATTGTAAATACCCATTTTCCGTTAGTATATTTTTATTTTTTACTTCTTCACATCTATTACATTCCACGTATTATTTTGCTCTAATGATTGCATTTCATCTGCTATAGCTTTTTTCCATTTTAATTTATCTCTCCAGATATTGCTTCTTTGTATGTTAAATATACGAAATCTGGATGTATATTTCGTTTCTTTTCTCCTTTTCGCACCTAGTAAAAAGCTTCTATAATATTATTATTGTTTGAACAACATGGAGATTCTGTAAAAAATTTGTTTGTACCCCATTGTTTCTTTATCTTGTTCATCTTATCATTCATACGTTCTCTAGAAAGTATCATTAAAGTTTTAATTTCTACATTGTCATTTTGAATCCGTTAACAAAGGTTATTATTTGTTTTTCAATTTATATTCATATCAAAATCATTGGCTATTTCATTAACATCAGAAAAATTAAATCTCTCTCTACATTTTTTCTTTTTCATCCGACCACAATCTATATCCTGTATTATCCAACCATTATTAATTTTTTGCTTAGGTTCAAGTTTTTTTAAATAACCAAGTTTTTTACATAGACTGCCGCAAAGCACTATTTAAGATTTGGTTTTTTATTTGTCCATTCTATAAATATCACACATCGCTAATCTATTAAGATGAGACATGAACGACGACATTTCATTTTTAAGTCCAGATTGGAATAATAAAGTACGAGCTTTTTCCATAATGCTTCGATTTAACCTTTCAGCTTTTCCATTTAACTGAGGTGTATGGTTAGTAATCTAGTTTTATCCCTTTTCTCTGACACCAGATTTTAAGATCATTATTTTACCACCATTATCACATCTTATAGTACTGACTTTATTCTCTTTTCACGTTCAACTTCGTTAATATAATCTTTCAAGAGTACTTTCCCAGAGTTGTGACACTTCATACTTATTTCTCATTAAATAGGTTTTTACATTTGAATGAAAATCATCAAGTATAGTCATAAAATATTTCTTACCACAAGTTTCATCTTTTGATGATACTACACACATCAGTAAATAATTTCTAACTTTCTAGTAGCTTTATTTCTAGAATAAAATGGTTTTCGTAGTTTGTTTTAATACAAATTTCACATTTAATGTTGGTTAATAATTTTCATCTATGTTTATACCAAATTTATAATTTTAACAAAATTCATTTGACGGATGTCCCATTTTAAAATGCATTTGTGTTTTCTTTCTTTGTTGTATATAGTGACATATCTTTTCTGTCAATAAATGTTTCTAAATCACATATAATCCTTAAACATTCTTTTACCGTGTAGGATTGTTTCAGAATCTTTATGTTTTTGATCTGAGAAATTCACTTCACCGCCATTATTTGTTATATTGTTTACAGATAGAAGATTTTGAAAACTGGGTACGAACAAAACTTTTTGCAGTTTATTCTCGACCAATTATTATCTTGACCCTGTGCCATCAATATATCATGTTTAGCAACACTTTTGATCTCAGATTGAATTTTTAAAATCATCCAGTGTATCTCGAATCATGTGAATTGACAACGAATCCACTATAAATTGTATGCTTTTCTGGTCATTTGACATTTCTTTAGATAGAAAGGTAACGTGTTTGTTATATTTTTATATTTATTTACAAATTGTTTTTTATCTGTACTATAGTTGTTCTTCTTTTGAATGTGGTATTTCCGAAAATAGCAATTAGCTTCTATGTGATTTGTCTTTTTACAGCTAGAACATGGTTTTGTTCTACATTGCTGCGTATTATGACCCATGCGATTACAATTTAGACATTTTACAACTTTCTACAAAAGCAGTAGCAGTTGTTATATATTCAGTTTTATTCAGCCTATTTTCTTCCGTTAAAAGTCGACTTTTTAGGTTTTTAAGAGTCTTTTCATCTGTTTGTGTTGATTCCCATGCAGTAATAAAATATGAATAGTTGTCTGGTAATGAACTTAATATTTTTGATGTTATAACTTCATCATCCAATTTTTGTCCAAGTTTTTTCTCTAAAAAATGAGTTTTCTATTTCTTGATATTCATTAATGTTATGACTAGGTCGATATTTATAGTTGAAGAATTCTTGTAAGATTTGACATTTATTACGTTCTTCTGAACCATCATATAAGCTACAGAGATTGTCGAACATACCTTTTGCATTTTCACAATTTAATAAGTGTTGTACATGTTTTTTATCAATAGATGTAATTATAATAGCCCGAGCTTGAGCATCTTTTCTTTCCCAGTCGCCATCTTTTTTCAATTCATTATTGCTTGCTATTATTTCAAATAATCCTTTGGCTTTTAGTATTATTTTTATCTCGAACTTCTACTATCTCTCTCATTATCTACTAGTCTTGTTATGTGGTCTTCATTACTATTACCCGATCTCGCCATTTTTTAATGTTTTTAATTTTAATTATTATATTTTATGTAAATATTAATATATTTTATATTATTTGTAGTTGTTAGCCCATAACCTGTTGAATTGGGAGATATTCCGAGTGAAATGATCTAGATTTTAATGGATATTTTTAATAAAATACGAACATGATGTTAAACGTAACATTTAATCTATCAATATATTTTTTTTAACAATGACAGAATTTATTACTCAAATACAATTATGTATATTAACCTCTATGTTCATTCAACAGATCACATAAATAAAAGTCCACATTATATTTTATTTCAGTAGACAAATGCTATTTTTTTTTTTTTTGGTTCTGTTTTTCCCTTTTTAGGGAAACAAATGCTATTCTATTGTGTACTTTGGTAAATTTTTTTATAATCTTATTATTATTCAATTGTCATAAATTTTTTAAGACAACGGCAATATTTAGTTTTATTTTAGCCAAATGAAGCACGATTTGTTATTTAAATATGGTAACACCGAACAGGTGTGGTCATCATCTTTTTCCACTTGACAGTTGTCAATATTCGTCACTACAGTTTTATAAGTTCGCTGATAATTTCAATTAAATTTGAAAATTCATATTAGAAAATATCTACTCCCTTAGAACATCATGGGAGACTCCCTAGATGGGAGTGAGAATACTCCTGAAGCTCAGAATGTAGTCGTCGTCGATTTTCAGGAATTTGCAAATTACCTACGCCGCGCAGCAACGGTACTTTTGCCTGAAGATGACATCGTTCCACCGGCTTTGAACGCTGCACTCGACGATAAAGTGAATCAAGACTGCATAAGAAAATTCGTCTGTGATCCTCAAGTTTCGTCATTATATGTGCAGCGATTCTCATCCAAAGGTACTAGTGCACCTTTTACTGTTACCTACATAGCATTGGTTTTATTTTATTTTATTTGCAGTATTAAACCGGCTTACAGTCAGTGTTACATGTGCTCTGTGTGCATACATAATACTTATCTGTGAGTATAAATGCAATTTGAAACGATACTATGCAGAACATTTTAGCCGCTTATGAACATACAATTTTTATATTATAATTTTTTCCCTACCATCCTGTTCAGTATACAGCCACAACTGAGAAGAACTGGCAAGAAACTTAATTAAATTTCTTATGTTTTTAAATCCAGTTTATTTATATTGGTGTCTATGTAAACATTAAATGAAAATTCCATACATGAACAACTATTGCCATGCACACTTGTCATTCAAGTAATTGTTTAGTGACTAATAGAATTTGTTCAATAAATATGATTTAACAAATGTTTTGAATTTATATCAGTAAATGTATATGTAATGTATAATGTAAATTTTTATATATTTGCACAATTTCAAACATCTCTGTGCCTGTTATATCTTTTTTTTCCTTTTGAATACTGCATAATTGGCAATCTGCTTTTTACATACAATAGTCCTATCTGATGGCTCTTGTCTTTAATTGTTTGTTTCCTTTTAAATTACTGATGCTGCTCCAATGAGCCAGTCCTCAGGCGCTGTCTGTGAATCTTTCTGCTAGTTTCTGGATGTCATATCTTTTATCTAGGAAATAAAAAAACAATAAGAAAAACAGAATTAATATATTCCACAACCTTGTTTAAATTTTAGTAGTGTACAAATCACTTTTTGGCTTATTTGAACTGAAGATATCAATATTTACTCGAAATGGTAAAATGAATGTGATTTAAAACTAAGTTTATAATTAAAACTGTCATGCCTATGGTTGACTTATAGATAGTGCTATATAATGTTAATTCTTATACAATTAATAGATTCACAAGAATGTACTGGAATGTAATTGTACTTCAAATATATCTCAATTTGGTTTTTAGAAGATGACAATGAACAGCCAACTGAAGGTGAAGAGGAGAAAGAAGCTGTCACATATCAGATCAGCAATGAGGTAATACACTTAACTACATATTAATTTTCAACAAACTTTATATCCAATGAATGAGGCTTCCAATTGTTCTATATTTTTCTGGTTATACACTTTAATGTTATATATATGTTGTACACCTTAGACAATGGAAATGATATTTGGGAGACTGCTCTCTTACTCTTCAAGCTCAAATAATGCAACAATGCTTAGTTGTTATATGGTAGAAAAGATAATCTAGGCCCAGGAATCTTACTTAAAATTCTTACTCCCAAGTTAAACTCCCTCCCTGCACAGTGCCTGAGAAGATAAAGACTATTGCTCCTAAAAATATACTTCCATTCATGTCCCTGATATGTAACAACCTCTGAAAAAGGATGAGCACAACAGATCTATATAGGTTGCAGTGCTGCAGGTCCAAACACCTGATAATAGCCTAAACCGAAAAAAAATTATAGGTTTAGAAGCTGGGGGGGGCCTAAAAAACCTCCCAGTTTCAACCAACCATATAAATATAAATTTAATACCACATGAGTCATATTATGTTTAAGCTTTTATTATAATAAAACAGGTGCACTTCACTTCTCCACGTGTAGCAGCATTTGTGTGTATCAAACGTGGGGCAGTAATTGAAGCAGACAAGTCCATACATAGCCAGCTACGCCTCATCAACCTCTCTGATGGCTCTCCTTATGAGACACTCCATGCTTTCATTAGCAAGACCATGGCACCTTTTTTTAAAAGTTATGTCAAGGAAAGTGGTAGAGCTGACAGGTAAGTTAATAGTTTGTCATAATTGTGTTTTAATATTTCTTTTATACTGTAATAATAACAAACCATGACTAAAATATACTGTTTGTATATATTATTCAGAGATGGAGATAAAATGGCGCCATCTGTTGAAAAGAAGATTGCAGAATTGGAAATGGGTCTTTTGCATCTGCAGCAGAATATAGACATCCCTGAGATTACTCTGCCAGTACATCCTTTGGTAGCAGCTGTCATCAAGCGGTAAATATTGTTTTATATTGACAGAACAAATCAACAATTTGAATGTTTAGAATTAATTGAATAATATATATTTTTAATTGATTTAGATCTTGTCATACCTTGTCTTTGTATTTAATGTTTAGATATACATTAAGTCTTTTTCGTCCTTTTAATAGAGCTGCAGATGAAGGGCGCAAGCCTCGTGTGGCAGATTTCGGTGATAAAGTTGAGGATTCTACATTCCTTAATCAACTACAAAACGGTGTTAATAGATGGATTAAAGAGATTCAAAAAGTATGTATAATAAATATTTTTTATTTATTAAAATATCCTCTCTCTTAGGATATCTTGAAAATTTTATAATATTTATTTTACAAGGTCACCAAACTGGATCGAGACCCTTCCAATGGTACAGCTCTCCAGGAAATATCTTTTTGGCTCAACCTAGAAAGAGCACTACATCGTATTCAAGAGAAACGAGAAAGCATTGAGGTAGATTTTTTTGTTAATTATATTTCTTGTATAATGTTTATTATTTACATAATATTATATAGATATATAAAAATGTAGCATTAATATATAATTATTATTGTCACCATCGTCACAACTTATCATCTGATGTATGTATCCAGTATATTGATATAATTTGTACTCTATTATAATATAATTTATGGTTGAAATTTTTCTGTTCGTCCAGGTGGCTCTAACTTTAGAAATTTTGAAGTACGGGAAACGTTTCCACGCCACTGTCTCATTCGACACCGATACAGGCTTGAAACAAGCCCTTGCAACTGTCTCTGACTACAACCCTCTCATGAAAGACTTCCCTATAAATGATCTGCTCAGTGCTACCGAACTTGAGAGAATCAGGTAATTATATATTTGATATAAATTTTAAAAAAATCAATAAGTCGATATTCCAAATGAAAACAATATTTTAATATTATATACAATTTTTCAGGTTGGCAGTTCAACAAATTTTCTCTCATCTTCGCAAAATTCGCTCAACCAAGTATCCCATCCAAAGAGGATTGAGACTCGTCGAAGCTATTTCCCGTGATCTTGGACAACAACTATTAAAAGTAAAGATTTTTGCCACCTTCTATTTTTATAAATATCTCTAATATAAAATAAACTAAAAATTTGTAAAAAAAATAATTAATTAAAAATCAATATGAACGTCAATTTCAGCTGACAAGCAGCATACTATGTAAACTGTGTTTCGGTTGTATATTAGTGAAATTACAGAATAAGATCCATGACATCTTAAGTTGTTTGGGATGGTCTTCACGAGTGATATCATGGGCACCATATGAAAAAGTGATCTCATAAAGCTATTTGTTGTATATAGGTCGGTTACCAGCTACCATGCAGTGGATCATCAAATTGTTTGCCGTTCCGATCGCTTAAAAATAAATTCCTAGTATTTCTTTATTAGCAAATTAAATAAATTATTTCTTTAGGTGCTCGGAACACGTCGTCTGATGCATATTCCGTTTGAAGATTTCGAGCGAGTTATGACACAATGTTTCGAAGTGTTCTCATGTTGGGACGATGAATATGAGAAACTGCAAGGCTTATTACGGTATGTGGACTTCATATTGTGATTATTAGTCCATAATCCTAAATTATACCTATATATCAAAATTCTGTAAGATTTTTATGCTTAGATATTTGAATGTCTACAATTATAATCAAACTGTTAAACTGTAAAAACTTTTTTTACAGTACAGTAACAGATAGTGATACCGAATTCACGCTGTATAAACTATATGATATAGTTAGTACTTACAAGATAATTGTCATGTTATAATTCGTTTCACAACTAAATCTATTGAAAGTTACATTGTATTGAAGGTTTTTACGAAAAAAATGCCACATCTAAATAAAACATTTGTTTATACATATAGCGATATAGTAAAGAAGAAGCGCGATGAACACCTTAAGATGGTATGGCGCGTTTCACCATCTCACAAACGGCTGCAAGCACGCATGGAACACATGCGCAGATTCAGGCGACATCACGAACAACTGCGCACTGTCATGCTTAGGGTAAGAAATTGTGTTACTATTAAATGACTAGCTGACCTGTGCAACTTCGTCTGCTTCACACTTGATATTTATCGTTATATTTCGCCCAATTTACGTAATATCTTTGTAAATTATAGACTATATGTTATTCCGATATATAAGCTATATTACTGTGAAGTTTCATCAAAATCCTTTTAGTAGTTTTAGTGCGAAAAAGTAACCAACATCCATCCATACTCACAAACATTTGTAAGACAATACTATGCATCACCTGTACTATTATGAAATAATCATTAAAAAAACGAGATATTGCCTCCCTCTCTGAATACTTAATCACTATATATATAATACATACTGATCCTAGTACAATTTAGATGGTATGGTTTTTAGGGATACATGAATGAAAATTAATTATCTTAATATATAGAATTCTTCTGTACGTATTTATCATTTCTGTCATGTCTGCCGGGCCATGCTAGTGTATTGTATTTTAGCTGTCTCAAATTTTGTTTACTAAACAAATACAGGTACTTCGTCCACGCGCCACTGTGGCTACAGAAACTGGTGCCGGCGGAGAGCCAGCTCAACCGCATTCGCTACCTATGGATGCCGCCGATGCTAATGCAATTGCTGAGGTGCGATATTTATTATAATTTATATATATATAAGTATAATATATATTGAATTGCCTTGCCTTGGAATTCAATTAGGTATTTATTATAATTTTAGGTGAACTTAGCATACGAAAATGTCAAAGAAGTAGACTGTTTAGACATTTCTCGGGAAGGATGTGATGCTTGGGAAGCCGCTGTCCGTCGTTATGAAGATAGAATTGGTAAGTCTACTGTAACAATTATGTATGTCATCCTACTTAATATATAATTTATGTTGTACTAATGCTTTTCTGTGTAAAGGTTGTGGAGAAAGAATACAATGTATTCTCCCTATCACTAACAATTGACACATTAATACAAATTTATATATTTATATCTGATAGGTTTATGCTCTAAATGTACAATTACTTATAGGTGAGTAGGCAGTGTAAATGACAAAGGTTATTTAGAAATTTTAATTTTCTTTTATTAAGCATAATAATGCCTATTAGCCACTAGAAAGTAAAAAAATATCTGTATACGTAAATCCAAATTAAAAAATCATTTATATATCTCAGTCTCATTCTACCGCCAAACAGCTTGCTTTGTTTGTTGTGTTTATGTAGAGCCAAATTAGACAATGAAATTATAGTATAAAGAAGAATGAATAACAAAGAAGAAAAACAATGCAGGCATTCAGCTTGTTTCTATATATAGGATGAGATATGTCACTGAAATTGCTGTGTACTACTCTACTAGCAACTTATCGTAGTCCTCAGGAATACATTAAAGCTTACTACTCATCATATCTATTCCCCACGATTGCCACTTTCCAAGTAAGCTTAGTACTAAGCATTATGGCCATGTTTGTTTGCTAGATCGCGTCGAAACCCGTATCACAGCTCATCTTCGCGACCAACTCGGAACCGCCAAGAATGCCAACGAGATGTTCCGTATTTTCTCCCGTTTCAATGCGCTATTTGTGCGGCCGCACATTCGCGGCGCCATCCGCGAGTACCAAACTCAACTCATACAGAGAGTGAAAGATGACATTGAAACCCTGCACGAGAAATTTAAGGTATTTGATAAACATTTCGTGTAACTTAACATATTTTGTAAAACTCAATCAAAATTAATCCTACATTATTTTCATATTTTTCTCAGTGTGAATTACTTCCGAAAATCCTTGTGATTGAATGAAATTATGTCGGCATTTTCACACTATTTGTCTAGGCAATTTTTCCGCAACACGGAACATTTATATTAGCATTTTAATAAGAATTATACACATATCTGTAAGTAAATGTTTCAAACTATAACATTGCGAATGAATATAATCTCTATTTATTATTTTAAATATGGTAATGGTAATTTATAATATAAAGCAATGTCAATTATAAACAGAATTCAACATATCATTGTTGCAGCCTTTTATATTTCATTGTGAAACGCGTCATTTCGCACATCCGGTGTTCAACTGCATGTGTCCTGACTACGAGCCACATATATTGGAAGTAATATAGTGTAACATGTTATTCCTCGTGTCCTTTTCCATGGCACGTCTTCTAATTCTCCGAATTCTAGCCTGTTCACATGCTTTTCTTAGCGGAAACTGCGCGACAACGATGTGTATATTTACTGTCTTTTACCACCTACCATATAGTTCTCAAACACATTTTGATTATGCGCGAAATGTCGTTACAGGCTATGTATATCTGCCGACGGCTTTTCTGTTCCAGCTAATGCTTTTGGAACTTTCAATGCCTTTGTGTATGTCACTATAGTACTATAATATTACAGGTTCAATATCCGCAATCGAAATGCAGCCGTCTCTCCTTAGTACGTGACCTACCGCCCGTTGCTGGATCCATCATTTGGGCAAAGCAGATTGATCACCAACTCACTGCTTATTTAAAAAGAGTTGAAGATGTTCTTGGTAAGTTCATACACAACAATATAGTGTTTTTTCACTATACTAATATTTAGCGTATTCAATTATTATATTATATTTTTGTTTTCTTCGGTAGGCAAAGGTTGGGAAAACCACATTGAAGGTCAAAAATTGAAAGCTGACGGCGATAGTTTCCGACTTAAACTGGACACACAAGAAGTATTTGATGATTGGGCCCGCAAGGTATATATATATATTATTTTAGGTTTATAATATGTGTTCCTTCAAATTTATTGTAATTTGACTTTGATTTGTCCACAAACTAGTATGAAAATAATTATCGCGTTAATCATCACAGGTACAGCAACGTAACCTCGGCGTGTCTGGGCGTATCTTCGCCATAGAATCTGTACGTGCTCGATCCAGCAAAACAGGCACCATACTGAAATTGAAAGTTAACTTCCTACCTGAAATTATAACCCTATACAAAGAAGTCCGCAACTTGAAAAATCTTGGATTTAGGTAAATATAGATTCGAAACCATATATGATTTAAAAAATAAATAGTATAGTCACCTTTGTTCCCTCGATAAATTGCAGTCTAAAGTAATAAAATTTTTGTGATTATTTCATTCTTTAAAATTAAAACTAACATAACACATTGGACCATACATTTAAATAGCCCATAGGGTACTTTTAACTGAATCCCTCAGACGTAATATTAAACTAGTTAATAATAATTATGTATGTAAAATTAATACTGGTTTGCAACCTTATGCATGTGGTGATATAGGACATATTAATAGATATGTACTATAAAGTCAATGGATCTCTTCATTTATATTGAAGATTTAATAAAACCCCTTACTATAGGTAATAATAATGGTCACAAATACCGCATATTATCTTAAATCATATTATAAAGGATAAATGTATTGACTATCATGGATTGCTATTAAAGAATTTAAATAACACGTTTAAATAACAAACGGATTTCTGCTACAAAATTATACTATTTTTTTTCTTATGGCGCATGTTAATTATAACTTATAAACATGTTTACCTCATTATACAATATGTGAAATAATAATGTTATTTATTTTAGGGTGCCACTGGCTATAGTAAATAAAGCTCATCAGGCCAACCAACTCTACCCATTCGCCATCTCGCTCATTGAAAGTGTACGCACTTACGAGCGAACTTTAGAGAAGGTATGTATTATAAACTTTAGTTCAATCATTTATTAATTAACAAACATTATTTACTCACAGTGTTCAAGCACCACTTTACACTATAATGAGTTGGCACATGAAAGAAACTTCACATATTTTAACAATAATTTGTTACTATCAATATAAACAGACAAAAGTTCTTTGTGTGAGATCACTAACACATGCATTTTTATTTATGCAGCTAAATAATAGGAATCATACAAAGGTAGATCAACTATATGCTGCATGATTCCCATACATGCTTTAGCTTATTATTTCAATCGCAAAATGTTTTTATTTATGTATTGTATTCAGTTGGTTAATAAACCAAGTGACGTTTAAACCAATTGAAGTTCATTTAACGGAATAAAAAGTATTTCCTTTACAAAAACGAACTGTAAAAACCATATTCAGAATAGAGTATTTGTAAAAAGTACTTTAACAAATAATTGTAGTACATAACAATATTTAATCTAAAAATCTGTTGTTATACGATGTCCTGAGAAATTACTGAATTATAACTTAGACCTTTTTAATCATCTATAAAAGTATATTAAAATTATCATACAAAGGCTATGAAATACTTATGCTCTATTTAATATCAAATTGTATTTACCAAGTACTATAGACACCAATTGCATTTTTTATTTGCAAATATAGTATGTTGTACACTTGCTTAAAATTTTTGGCCGTATGTATAATTTGCTTTGATTATCATTTCCAAATATATTGACAACTTCATAATTTTAATGGAGTGATTATGTTATGTAATATATTAATTATGATATCTAGAATGCACGAAAACAATATTTATTTTGCTTCTTCTTTCTCCAGTATTACACTAGAAAGTATTATATGAGAATTGTAAATGTAAATTTTAAATTAGCTTAATTTTTAAACTTATGTTAAAACACAACTGTATGTACATTCTCCCCAATTTTTACATTCGTGGGTCGCGCTTTGTCATGTTATAGTTACTATGCTTCCTTACATAAATGTATTTGTGTAATTTCTCTTAAATTAATGATGTTATAATTAAGTTATATGTACCTTCCAGATTCGCGATAAGGCTTCGATCATCCCATTAGTTGCTGGTCTTCGGCGCGACGTACTGAACCAGGTGTCTGAGGGCATGGCGCTTGTCTGGGAATCCTACAAGCTGGACCCTTATGTACAAAGACTCAGCGAGGTTGTGCTACTCTTCCAAGAAAAGGTATACTTCTTTTAAAGGTCTTATTATTGGACATTAGATATATGAATGATATTTTGTTGACACAATTATACATAGAAGTGTACAAAATCAATTGAACATATTCGTTTTTAAGTGTTTAATTGATTTGTTAGGTGGAGGATCTCCTGGCAGTAGAAGAGCAGATCTCAGTAGACGCGCGGTCTCTGGAAACGTGCCCGTACTCTGCTCAGAGCCTGGCAGACATACTGAGCCGCCTGCAGCGCGCCATCGATGATTTGTCACTGCGCCAGTATAGCAACCTGCACCTCTGGGTCCAACGCCTCGATGAAGAGGTTAGTTTAGTGTTTTGTGTAATATATTAAGTAATTTAAAAACATTTTAAAGAAATAATTCGAATATCTGATGCAATCAAGCTCACAGTGCCATCTAGCCCCAAGCTAAACAGAACTTGTATTATGGCAATTACACAATGATATAATAGATACATACATTTTTTTTTTAATTCATACATTATATACATAGTAAACACCCAAGCCAATAGTAACAATCATACTCATGTCTGAGTCGTGCGAGGAATTGAACCGGTAAGTAAAGTAGGTCGGAAATAAGGTGATGTTCTACACCGCTAAAACACCGAGACCGTCTTATATATCTATGCAACTAGAGTGCCTTAACTTGTCATTAAACTAATCTGAGTGTGGTGGATAAACTTCTAAAATAATTCTATTCCCATTAGATTACCATCTTGGTGTTTAATCTTCTTTACATGCATGTAGGTTGAAAAAAGCCTTGCTGCTCGTCTACAAGCCGGTGTAGAAGCCTGGACTGCCGCCTTGTTAGGCAAGAGTAACGAAATGGATCTGTCAATGGATACATACTCGCCAGCTGAACCCACTCACAAGCCAGGCGGTGAACCTCAGGTACCGAATAATTTTATTTATAATTAACTGATTAATAATAATAATAACTTTATTCATTACTGACCAATAGAATATATTTTTAGTAGAAATGGTGATAGGTTATTTAGTTACACAGTGATAATAGAAGGAATTATGTAGGGAGTAATCTGAATTATCATAATCAGATAGATTGTGTACCATCTATAGGAGGAGACTAGAGCTTTAAGAAGTGTCATGTATTCATCATATAATGTATGGATGTTATTGGAACAAGTGTAGATTTTCAATAAACCTCTCAATTCATATATTATTCTCATTCAATTTAACAATTGTGGTTAACATTAGTATGTTGTAATTATTACTTATAATTTGTCCCAACAGATTGCTCGTGTAGTGCACGAGGTGCGTATAACCAACCAGCAAATGTACCTGTTCCCATCACTTGAGGAGGCGCGTTTCCAACTCATGCGACAGATGTTTGCGTGGCAAGCAGTTGTCACTAGCCAACATCGTCTTCAAAGCACCAGGTATATTAACTTTCTTATTGATATAATAATCTTGGTACTACATAAATATTTTATTTATAATGTGTTTAATATGTTTATGGAATTGATACTTTGTACATTGTTATTCATTATTTTACGAAAAACAATCTATGATCTAGTTGTTGCATAGTTATAGGGTAACTGTAATCCTCCATTGGGAGTAGGTTATAAACGTTTTTGTATTAATTATAGATATCAGGTGGGTGTCGCTCGCGCCCAAACGGCTACATACAGAAATCTTCTGACTAAACTTCCTGGAGGTTCGTCACCACTCGAAAATGCATACGACGCCATCGAACAAAAGATATCGCAAGTTCGCGAGTATGTCGATGAGTGGCTACGGTATGTACATTCTACATAGAATTGTATATGTTCTTCTTTATTTAATGGTTTCGCAAATAAATTTAATCTTTCTTTTATCCATTATAGTTACCAAGCTCTGTGGGATCTTCAACCAGAAAGCTTGTATGGTCGTCTCGGAGAAGACATCACTTTGTGGATAAAGTGTCTGAATGATATCAAGTTAGTGATATTCATATTATTTTTATTCCGGTATACTGTTCTGTACTGTGCCTATTCCCTGGCGATATGTAGATATTTTTGTAACCTGTCAGGTCTTTTCCATGAATAGAGCATAATAAGTATGCAATATGTTATCAGGAAGTCGCGTACAACGTTCGACACGTCGGACACGCGTAGAGAATATGGACCAGTGGTCATCGATTTCGCGCGCGTTCAGAGCAAAGTCGCACTCAAATATGACGCTTGGCACAAAGAGGTGCTTGGCAAATTCGGCGCTCTGCTTGGCGGCGAAATGGTCACCTTCCACTCGCAACTGGCTAAGTCACGCAACCAGCTTGAGCAGCAGACTATTGGTAAATATACTTTTCCTTGTCCATCATTCATCTACGTAAGAATCTTATGTCGTATACAAGGTATATTGTTGTTGTGTATGAAATTTATATAAAAATTGTTTTATTTGTTATAAATCGTTATTATTCATATTATGTCATAAATTACAATACTTGTTTCATAACAAAGTTGAAATTATATGTTAACGTAATGATAATGTGTCATTACCCTCCATAATAAGTTTCACATACAGGATTTATATAAAAAGACGAAACTTAATATCTTGTTAATTATGACCACAGAAGCGGCATCGACCAGTGACGCCGTTTCTCTAATCACTTACGTACAGCAGCTAAAGAGAGAAGTTCTGGCATGGGAGAAGCAAGTCGACATATATAGAGAGGCTCAACGTATCTTGGAAAGACAAAGGTAAAGTAAATTCTCGATTGACTGAATTCATGCCTCTTTTAATATTCTTATCCCATCATTTCTAGAATATTTTTGCCACGAAATCGATTCAGAAGTCTAATATGTTCAATATTGTTACAGATTCCAGTTCCCAACACAATGGCTTCATGTAGATAACATTGAGGGTGAATGGAGCGCTTTCAATGAAATTATGCGCCGTAAGGATTCCTCAATTCAGACCCAGGTGAGTTATGAAATATATCTAGACTTTAAGTCTTTTTCTGTAGTGTATCTTAAAATTACTAAAATATTGTTAACAAAAGTTAAAAAATGTTATCTTTGCAATAATTTATAATTATAAACTACATATCTATAATCAAAATTAAATACTGCTTAAGGACTTATTCTTGCACCACTAAAATTTTATTACTCTCTGTTTGTCTCTTATCCTTTATCGTACATTTTTACTATAGTGTTTATCAAATAAACAATATAGTAAAAATAGTGTGTACTTTGTTCAAATAAGTATACTGCTTGGTACCAACGAAGTTTATTGCTTCAGCCAAAATAGTACAGTCCTATGATCAATGAACACTTTTCAATAATATCCTTTATTTATTATAATTTGAATTTTTTTAGGTTGCATCCCTCCAACAAAAGATCGTAGCCGAAGACAAGGCGGTCGAAGCGCGTACCTTGGAGTTCCTCACTGAATGGGAGCGCAGCAAGCCTACCGATGGCTCGACAAGACCAGAGGACGCTCTGTCTAGGCTCCAAGCAATGGAAACCAGGTACACGAGACTAAAAGACGAGAGGGACAACGTAGCAAAGGCTAAGGAAGCCCTAGAACTACATGATACAGGTAATATTGAAATATTTAATTTTTGTTATGTATTCAATGTTCTCAATTTTTCTTTATAACTTTCTAACTGATATTTATTCACAATTTAAACATTCACTGTCATAAATTCTTGCATGAAGAATCTTATACATATAAACATTATTCATGTTCACAAAATTTGTAAACTTTTGAATTTCATTACAATCTTTAAGTCTAATATTTGTTGTCACAGGTAGCTCAGTAAACAATGAGCGTATGACCGTTGCTTTAGAGGAATTGCAAGACTTACGTGGTGTTTGGTCCTCGCTTAGTAAAATATGGACCCAAATTGATGATATTCGAGAGAAGCCGTGGCTCTCCGTACAGCCAAGGAAGCTCAGGCAACAACTGGAAGCTATGTTGACTGAACTTAAAGATCTACCAGCTCGACTCCGGATGTACGATAGCTATGAGTATGTACGGAAATTGCTGCAGTCTTACACAAAGGTAAAATACATATATATTGCTATATAATCATTATATCAATTTATATAAATGTTACAGTTATAGTTACTAAGTTATAATATTAGAATAGGATACCGTTACTATCGCGAACACAGCTCATCAAGAAAACAACCTTTTTTCACACTATCTAGTAGAAGTAATCACGAGCTTCAGTATGAACACATTAAATGTGCCCACTGTTACATCTATATCCTATCACATATAGTCTGCAAATTTTCTTCTACTGTGACCAGGTGAACATGCTGATAGTGGAACTGAAGTCAGACGCACTGAAGGAGCGCCACTGGAGACAACTATGCCGCGCTCTCAAGGTGGAGTGGTCACTGTCTGAGCTGACCCTTGGCCAAGTGTGGGATGCTGACTTGCTCCACAACGAGCACACCGTCAAAGACGTGGTCTCTGTTGCGCAGGGAGAAATGGCTCTTGAAGAATTCTTGAAACAGGTACATTAAATTTAAAGAGTGAAATCATAGAGAATGGTGCCATAACATCTTGGTTCTCAATAATCGTATTTAATGAGGGGTACAACGAGCGTCACATAACAACGATCTCTCTGGCCTCTTCACATATACTGTCTCAATAGAACTTACTGATCTTAAATTGTCATATAAGCACTCACTAAATTTAAATAGTAACACATTTATCTTGAAGGATTTAACTGTATATATCACCACTTTTTGCACATATTTTGTATTTGAAAATTTTTGAACATAATTAATATTATTCAATATAGAAAACTCTATATTATGTTGACGGTCGCAGAGGGGTGTACGGAAAAACATTATTCATGTATTCAATACAAATTGTAATAAACGAATAGATAGATAATCGAACAATTCATTGGTACTGATACTAACAACAATTATTATAGGTGCGCGAATCATGGCAGAGCTATGAATTGGACCTCATCAACTACCAGAACAAATGCAAAATCATTCGTGGCTGGGATGATCTCTTTAACAAAGTCAAGGAGCACATCAACAGCGTCGCTGCAATGAAACTCTCGCCATATTATAAGGTATTGTATTCAATTTACTCTTCATTCTAATTAGCTATGTCTCTTTCTTATACCCTTACAAATAATTTCGTATTTCGTAATGAATATAATAATTTATCTCTTTTCTATTCATTAGCAATAAAGGGCAGGAAAAAAATCAAGTGTATGTGTGTGTTTTACTTTTAAATAGAATCTTCAACCACAGTTAGTTAGAATAAGCTCTGTGTCATCGTAGGACATAGTCAATAACCACTTTAATACGATTTAAATTTAATGTGTAGGTATTTGAAGAAGAAGCATTAACCTGGGAAGAGAAACTGAACCGCATCAATGCGCTGTTCGATGTATGGATCGATGTGCAGCGCCGATGGGTCTACTTGGAAGGTATCTTCAGCGGTTCAGCTGATATAAAAACTCTATTGCCTGTTGAGACTAGCCGCTTCCAAAGCATCAGGTAATGTCATTTCCAATTATTTATATAAGATAAATAAGTTTATAATTGAATGCTAAAGTAAAATTATATATTGCAATAACATCCTTCATTTGGCTTTGAAAATTATAGCCATTGCATACCACTATTATTGCATAATTATTTTATTGGATCAAACAATGAAGCAGGAACTATTATTCTGATTAAAGTTCTGAATGTATATAATAGGTAATCGATATCCTGAACTTGATAACAGACATGGTAAAAGGACTAAGTGTATTGTCGCACTTCTTTCTCCTACTTCATCATTACCTTTTATTATATCTCTGATTATAAATGTTAGAATTATGGATTGATTATTTTTTTTAGCTCTGAATTCTTGGGCCTTATGAAGAAGGTGAGCAAGTCGCCGATGGTAATGGACGTGCTAAACATTCCGGGAGTACAACGATCTCTGGAACGACTTGCTGATTTACTCGGCAAAATACAAAAGGCTCTCGGTGAATATCTCGAGCGGGAAAGAAGCAGTTTTCCAAGGTATGTACTAAACTACTACAAAGAAATTTATCATCTGACTTTATATAAGTGTACCCTGCTGAGTAATAAATATACACAGATTCTTATTATCTCTGTGCTACTTTTTTTTATAATATTCTTCTTTCTTTCTCTTATTCTTTATTTGAAAAATGTGATAACGAAATTAAGATCGGATAGGCGATTCCCGGCGGTAAGACTGCCCCTGCCATGTTGAATCACATATTCAACATGGCAGGGGCGTCTTACCGCCGAGAATCAGAAATGTGTGAATTCGAAATGTCAATTGTTTCATTTGCTACAACATGGACATTTAATAAAGTCTTTGATTTCCTCATGTTTCTAAAATCTTAAATCTTTATAATAATATATTTTGCATTGTTTTAACTAAATGTCATTATAAATAAAACGTCTATTAATACTTGCAAAATAATCTAGCTGATTTGGTACTTATACTATAAATATGACTACAGGTTTTATTTCGTGGGAGACGAAGATCTGCTGGAAATCATCGGTAACAGCAAGAACATTGCGCGCCTACAGAAACATTTCAAAAAAATGTTTGCAGGCGTTGCCGCTATCATATTGAACGAAGACAACACAGTTATTAACGGCATTGCGTCCCGCGAGGGCGAAGAAGTAAGTTAAAACAACCATCCTATAAGTATCTACTAATAGGATGATGTTTTACTTTTTAATGCTATATTATATTATATTATCGACTTTTTAATGTTCGTCTCAATTTTATAATGTTTAAAGTGAACAATCTGTTATTCCACCTGATTTATTATTACCCGCCCCTATAGACAAAAACAGTAAATTATACATATAGGATGACGTCGAAGAATACTTTTGAGGGCAGTAAATATTGTATCGATAATACACATAAATTGCCAATTAGAAATCCCTAATATCTGTCAAGTAGCTGCTCCGCTACGTATTGTCACTTAGTAATAAAAATATGGATATGATGATATCTGCCCAAGTAATATTAAACTACTATTACTATTTATATCTCAATAGTATAAATGTATCATTTTCTATACTATTTTTTCCAGGTGTATTTCTTGTCCCCTGTGTCCACTATAGAGAATCCAAAGATCAACTCGTGGTTGTCTATGGTGGAACGCGAAATGCGCATGACTCTTGCGTGCCGGCTTAAAGATGCCGTTGGAGACGTAAAACAGTTCAAAGACGGGAATGTAGACCCGCAGAAGTTTATAGATTGGTGTGACAAATATCAAGTAAGTATTATGAAATTAATTTTTATAGTAATCAAAGGAGTAAAAATTATTTCATAATTTTATTATTAAACATTGAGTAAAATTAACTAAAGTAAACCTTATAAATAAATAGGCCCAGATTGTGGTACTGGCTGCTCAAATTCTGTGGTCAGAAGACGTAGAAGCCGCACTTGCAAGTGGCGGCGGAGACGGCTTGAAGCGAGTTCTGGCTCATGTAGAGAACATGTTGAATATCTTAGCTGATTCCGTACTACAAGAACAGCCGCCCCTGAGGAGAAGGAAACTTGAACACTTGGTTTGTATTATGTTATGACTAGATCTTTAACAGTAATCTCCAATATCGGAGTATGTATATTGATAACATCTATAAAACAAATATGATATAACCAGGTGAATCTTTAACGAAGCTGATATGGCAAATAAAATAAGAAAAGCAAATGCCCGCAATTTTTCTAATCAGACTTTATACTATCAATTAGAGACTTACTATCAATCACACTACCTTTTTCATTCTGTCACTGACTAACTATACATCTCAATAAAATTATTTCAATCTAGATAAACGAGTTCGTCCATAAGCGTACAGTGACACGTCGACTGATCGCATCCGACGTGAATAGTCCACGCTCCTTTGAATGGCTCTGCGAAATGCGCTTCTACTTTGATCCCAGAAACAATGAGGTAAGTCAGACCATGACCTTGACCATGCATACATCTTGTTAAAATAAATTCTTTTTAATGTTATTGTTTACCTCTTTTTGTCGAAACTGATAATAATATAAGTGTTATTTTTCTATATATTACACCTTATTTATTATATTAGTCTAATTAGGCTAGTCTAAAATTAACAATTGCTACTTTTGTATTAATTTGTTTTTTGTATTACTTTTGTATCATCTACTTCATTTTTTTTATAAAACTACAGCAACTGCATTACCCTAAAACTCATGTGATGTCTTAGTAACTCTGATCTCTCTTTACAATCCCATCAGCAGTCTAATAAGAATTTCATAATGGACAGGTACTGCAACAGCTGACTATTCACATGGCAAATGCTAAATTCCTGTATGGCTTCGAATATTTGGGCGTACAAGATCGGCTCGTACAGACCCCTCTCACTGACCGCTGCTACCTTACTATGACCCAAGCTTTAGAAGCTAGGCTTGGAGGATCTCCATTTGGTATGAAATTTCCTTTCTACGTTTTGTTTGTGATTGTTATTCCAACAAACATTTGAAATAAAATCAACAGCCTATATCTACTCCAGTCTGTGAATTGTTACTTTAATATTGTTAATATATTCATTTAGTAAAATATTCTAAATACAAAATAATATAACATTTCTCAATAATATACAGAATAACTGTTTTTCCCTTAAATTTTTCGTTTAATTTATTTTAGAATGGAATTTACTTTAAGTTCTTTAATAAGTGATAGAAGTTCCAATTTATAAGTGTACTTTCATAGAATTTGTTCTCCATTATGTTATAGTAATATATTAGTTCTAACAAAATAATTAAATTTTGAAACCTGCCATTAGGTCCTGCTGGTACGGGTAAGACCGAATCGGTGAAGGCTCTTGGTAATCAGCTCGGCCGCTTCGTGCTAGTCTTCAACTGTGATGAAACATTCGATTTCCAGGCTATGGGTCGTATATTTGTCGGTCTTTGTCAGGTGAGTACCATTTTAATTAATTTTTTTCTCATGTTATGTATATTACCATGTTAATATTATTCTCAAATTTTTAAATCATTTACTTAAATATCAAATTCTCTTTATAGGATACTATTTTCAAAATAATATCAAAATATAACTATTTAAATAACCAATATTTTATAAGTATACAGTTACGATATTTGCAATGACAACACATTTACGCAATTCCCGTGCATAGACTGGCAATAATTTAAAAGTCTTAATGCTATTAAGAAAATTATAAACTTTTATGTAGGCACTGAATTTTATACATATTTACATGTAGATTATATTAAATATAGGTGGGTGCATGGGGTTGTTTCGACGAGTTCAATCGTCTAGAAGAGAGAATGTTATCGGCCGTGTCCCAACAAGTCCAGACAATTCAAGAGGCACTCAAGAGCCACCAGGAAGGCGATAACACAAGTAAATAACATTACTTACATCTATTAAATTATATTTCCTCAAGAACAGAATATCTAGTCTGAAGCATATTCTAAAACACATCTAATACCCATTGAGATAAATAGAAACAAGAACTCTGCACTGTAACTAAAATCGTATAATTCATAAAATATTTTTATTCCTAAACTAGGAAGAATATTATTTTATGAATTAAATTTAATAGAATTCTGAATACAGCTTTTTCATAAATTTTCTGCTCACGTATTCTTGTATTATTTCATTGTAAAAAAACCGAAATGTACGTTTTATTCATCTATTCATCCTAATCATTCTATCTATGGTATATCTATGGACATGCATTTTGATGTATACTTACATATATATATATTTACCTCCGAAGCCGGGCACAGTTGTAATGTATCAATAACTTTTTCTTATGTGTTCCTAAATTATAGATAAACTGTAACGAAATATTGCAGGTAAATCCATCACAGTAGAACTCGTTGGCAAACAAGTACGCGTGAGCCAAGATATGGCAATCTTCATAACAATGAACCCTGGTTATGCTGGCCGCTCCAACTTACCAGACAACTTGAAAAAGTTGTTTCGAAGTTTAGCCATGACTACTCCAGACCGGCAGCTCATTGCTGAAGTGATGCTCTTCAGCCAAGGATTCAGAACTGCTGAAAAATTGGCCTGCAAGATAGTACCATTCTTCAAGTGAGTACATTCATACTACAGCAATTACTGTTTAGTTTTTATTAATCTTTGAATTATTATAATAAATTACTTTTTGTTATAGACTATGCGACGAACAACTGTCGAACCAGTCTCATTACGACTTTGGCCTGCGCGCTCTAAAATCTGTGCTCGTCTCCGCCGGAAACGTCAAAAGAGATCGCATACAAAAAATTAAGGTAATTTCTATTAAATTTAAACTATTTGATTGAACCATTACGTAATATAATAGACTCATAATAAGATATGTCGTCATGACAGTAATATCAATTTCAGGTTAAAGTACTTGTCATTATACAAGCGATAAAAAAGTGCTTCTACAAACTCTTACTTTCTGTCGGAGAAGTTTAAACTTTATAGTATTTAACATCTGATCTGATCTTTAGCTGCTAATTATAAAGACCTTTTAAATGATTTGTAAATACTAACACTTTTTTTTTTTATTTAGAGGCAGTCCTTAATTACTTATTTACTATCCCTAGCATTTACAAAACTAGAGAGTATATCAGTAGAATATATTTTACCATAATCTAATGAATTATGTAACTCGTATTACAATAATGACAGATAGTAAAGGTCTTATTGAATTTTCCTTCAGTATTGTATTTCAAAAACTTGTTTTTTTTTTATATAGGAGAACCTAATTGAACGCGGCAACGAAGTACCAGACGAAGCGTCTATAGCTGAGTCCCTGCCTGAACAAGACATCCTGATACAATCGGTGTGCGAAACTATGGTACCCAAGCTGGTAGCTGAGGATATACCGCTGCTGTTCTCATTACTCAACGACGTGTTCCCTAATGTTGGATACACACGAGCTGAGATGACTGGTATGTTTGTAAATATTACTCTATAATAGAATAGCGACTATAAAATAATTTCGATTAAAAATTTTAATACGGCCTCGATGGTCTAGATGTTTATCAGGTACAAATAAATAAGCTTACTGTGAAGCTTATTTATTTATACATGTAAATACAATTGGTATTACAAAATAGTATGTATTCGAAACTAGGCTTTTAACTAAAATGATATTGTACTGTTTACAATACATAAAACAAGAGTTTTGAATGCTTCAGCAGTAATTTTTATCTTTGTGTTGTAGGCCTTAAGAATGAAATTCGTGCTGTTTGCGCTGAAGAATTTCTTGTATGTGGTGAAGGCGACGAACAAGGCTCTACATGGATGGAAAAGGTATGTCACTAAGTAGTGTGTATATTAATAGATACGTGTTAGTGTATTTATTTTATTTTAAGTATTATGTAATCATTCAAACTAAAAGCATTAAAGTATTCTAGGTGTCTATCTGAGTAAATCACCTCATCGATGATCTTTTCATAAAAGCACTGTGTCCAATACACGAGTTTATAGCACATTGTTTTTGAGATTATCATTCAATTATCATATAATAAATTCATTCCTAACAAAAGGTGAAGGTACTTTTTGTATAAATAATTGAAATAATAAAATAAAATTAACATTATTATTTTTATAAATTGAGAACATTTAAGTATTTTATTATACATACTAATATCATACAATATGACGTGATCATAACAGTTTAACATATTATTTGCTTTATCATTATGATCTTGTAATGTGATTGTGATTTACTCGTAATTTTTCCAATAATATAAATTTAAATTAAAAAAACTCAATCATTGGTACTTTTCTTATTATACTTGTAGTTTACAAGTTATAAATCACAATCCCAATACAAACGAGAACCGATAACATACGGTAGTACGTGAATACATACGTTTCATGCTAACCCGCTAACGGCACGTAGAGGCTGGGCGCTGCAACGCGCGCGCAATACAGTACCTGGATCGACAAGGTGAGTGCAGGTCGCCGGCTCTGTGGCCTCATCGCTCTGTGTTCTCTGTGCTACTTCACAACTAGATTATATACTCTTTTATGTGGAATAATTTCTCTATTGGCGCTATTTTTGTAATAGGTATAACACCAATTCTAAGCAAAGAAACCATTCCATAAAGAAAGATCCGTTAAATTATTGAATGGTTTTTTCTTTTATCAAAATATAAGCAACTAGAAAGAATTGTTTTAGAGCACCTACTAAAAGTGATTCTTTATTAAAATGAAACCCGAAAGAAGTAGTGTTTATTCACTGATTTGAAATATGAAAGCTACAAATGAATATATTAAGAATCAAAATGATAGCACCTATTTGGAAAAGCGTACTTTCAGCTAATAACATAATGTACCTCAAAACTATTTTGTAGATTTATTAATAAAAAGTGACTGTTGAAATAAAATGATATAATTAAAATAAACTAACACTATACACACACAAACTAATTTCAATCTATTAAATTACATTTTTTATTGTTATAGTTTTCAGCTGTATAATTTCCGCCAAAATTTTCCTATAAATATTATGGACTGTATAATTTATTGTTCTTCAGGTTTAGATTCAATCATTCCATACATTGATCTATTAAACAAAATAAACGATGATTTGTTAACAGTACTGTATATTGCTTGGGTGTTTTATCAGTTATTTCGTCTATATTATAATAATTGTGAACTCCAGCTTCCTCCACATTATGTTAATTTTCCACTTTGTCACCATTTCAGAGTTATCATTATATTAGATTTTCTTGTCAATTTCTTATTTGTTACTTTGCTGATGTTATGTGTATAGCTACTGTAAAATAACTTCACATTCTGTACAAATCTTTAAGGCGTGGGATATTTTATGTATATACTTTGGTAAAGGTATTTTTAATGCTAGATATATCTCCAATAATTCATCCCTTATTTAGTATCTAATTCAGACAAATCAAAGTAATAATAATAATGACACTTGTCAATTTTGCTTCTTAATGTACAGTTTTTTATAGTTTTATTTCTAGTAAGCGTCGTTATAAGACATATTTTATTAGATATATTTAGACATATTTTATTACATTCTATTAGTGTGACAACTTGAAAACAAAGAGGCACGCTTTCACTGCAAAGCTCCTTAAATTGATTATGCAAGCAAATGGCACAAAATTATTATTTTTAACAGCTAATGCTGCCATATTTATAAGTATTTATATATAGGTGCTCCAGTTATACCAGATATGCAAATTGAATCACGGCCTGATGATGGTGGGTCCGTCTGGAAGTGGCAAATCTACTGCCTGGCGTGTGCTGCTTAAAGCTCTAGAAAGGTATGATATTAATAGTTACAGTAAAAATATTACTAACTTTGTCGTTAGTTTTTTCTTAATATTTGGAGTGACGACAAATTTTGAAAGCATGTCTCAAAATTTTATAAAGCAATTAGTTGCCCAAAATATTACGAATGTATATTTTCTGTATGCATGGCAAACCTATGTATCTACGGGTTGTGATACAAAATGTTAATATGTCAGTATTAAGTCCCATAACGAGTCCATAATTTAACATCCTATATTATAAGAATTTGGCAAGGAATACAATTACACTTTAATCATTATTTTATTAATCACTGTTACTATTTAAATAATAAATGGAATGAAATGATGCAGGAATAACCAGTTAAACTTTTCCAGATTTGAAGGAGTTGAAGGGGTGGCACATGTGATTGACCCGAAGGCTATGTCAAAGGAGACATTATACGGTGTCCTCGATCCTAATACTCGTGAATGGACTGATGGTCTATTCACACATATACTCAGGTAATAATAAGACTAGTAAGAAGTCAGATATTAAGAAAACTGTAGAAAAGGTACTTCATGTACACTGACTTTCACTGAAATTAAATATTCGTACAAAATACAATTTAACTTTTATATGTGTCTTTTAAAATTAAATATATTGCTAATAAGTCTGCATAGATTACTTTTATCTCACTATTGGTCACTTGCCTCTAAGCAACTTTAAATGAAATATGATAGTGAAATAAAAGAATGCGGAGGTATGATATATTAGTCCTCGTGAATAGGAACGCTTAAATTATATCATTGATGTCACGATGATAATCGTGGTGCTGTTCATGTATATAGGAGGCGACTGCCATGGGTGGAACATTAGCTTGTTTGTTATTCCACTTCATAAAAAAAAAATATACAGCTAACAAAAATTTCAAAGTATAAACTAAAATCTAAGTTCAATATATTATGTTTCCACCAATTTATAACAATCATGATATATCAAATAGGAAAATAATCGACAACGTTCGCGGTGAGATCAACAAACGTCAATGGATTATCTTTGATGGCGATGTGGATCCAGAGTGGGTGGAGAATTTGAATTCGGTGCTCGATGATAACAAGCTGCTCACGCTGCCCAACGGCGAGCGGCTTTCGCTTCCACCCAACGTGCGGGTTATGTTTGAGGTAAATAGCTTTTCATAGACTATATAGAATATAAGGACTATGAATAGTTACGATGATATGTGTCCATTTCAAAATACTTTAGTTGCAATGAAAACTTTATTAATATTAAAATAAACTATGAATAATGGGGTATTAAAAATATATAGATATTGCTGTTATATTACAAAGGGTAGTTGTATTATTTTTAATGTTTATAGTAGTTTTCATCTCTTACTTTATAGAATCACAAAGTTTATAATATTTATATTATATTCACTTCTTAATAACTTTTCGTTTTTGCTTTAGGTGCAAGATCTAAAATATGCCACTTTGGCAACAGTATCGCGTTGCGGAATGGTGTGGTTCTCGCAGGATGTGTTAACTACAGAAATGATCTTTGAAAACTATCTGATGAGGTAAATACGAGTATAGTACTGATACTAATCATTAAAGGTATTTGAAATTAATAATTAACTGTGTCAGTTACATGTCCTTAAGTTTCTTATACTTTATTTACAAATGGTGTAATTTCCACTGTTTGCATACAATATTATGTACTAGCTGTACCCGCGACTTCGTCCGCGTCGTAAAATAGTGACCTTGACTAAGAAATGAAAAAAATATTTAAAGACCTAACCCAATAAAAGCCAAATGAAAAAGTTTCATCGCTTCATCTCCAAAAATGACGACACTTCCATACATAACTCTTTCAACCCCTTATAAGCCTTCCATCGCATTCAAAAGTAGCCTATGTCCTTTCTCAGGGTATAGACTATCTGTGTACCAAATTTCATTTAAATCGGTTCAGTAGTTTTGGCGTGAAAGCGAGACAGACAGACAGAGTTACTTTCGCATTTATAATATTAGTAAGGAAGTAAGGATTAAGTAATAAGTCATTTCTCAATTTTCTTAACGTAATATTTTTGTTTCATTTCTTAGGCTAAAGAACATTCCTCTAGAAGATGGAGAGGAGGATTCCTTCAGTATCGTAATGGCCGCCCCGACTGCAGGTGGTGATCAAAATGCAACTGAGAACATTCTCTCCCCTGCATTACAGGTGAAGTACTAAATTTTGTATCCATGTGTCCTTATTTTCATAGTGTTAAAATTTTAACGGGACCTGATTTAGTAAAATCGTATACAGTAATAGTTTTATAATTTTCTTAAAAAAAGCAAAAAAACTTTATAAAAAACCCGTGTGTTATCATTACAATAAGGCTCCATTATACTATTGGTTCCTTATCATCTTGTTTGATTTGAAGTAAATGACATTGCAATTTTATCAGAATCTTACTTGACACCAAATTGAGGTATAACAGAAATCGGAAATTATTGTATAACATAGCTTTATATTATGACATTTAGACCCAACGCGACGTAGCCATAATCCTCCAACCGCTGTTCTTCAGCGACGGATTAGTGGTGAAGTGCCTGGAGCATGCCGCAACTCTCGACCATATTATGGACTTCACGCGGCATCGTGCACTCTCGTCGCTGCATTCCATGCTTAATCGTGGTGTCAGGTAATACTATAAACGTAACTTTACATTAGTAAGTACGGTCAAATTCGAAAATACATTAATTTAATACTGGTCAAAAGATAACGATCCTGTGCTATTTTTGTGACGCATCACTAGTATAAACATAGATACATCACTATTAGAAATGAACAAACAGCTACTAACAATATCTCCTACACAAACGCTGTGTTCATCATCCCTCATATTTTATTCACATAGCTCCTATTAAAAATTCACTTCTAACTTCCTTTTTACCTCTTTCATCCCTATCCACATACCTTACGTTATGATGCTACAAAAGCAGTCACAAAAAGATACGCCAAACAATTCATACAAACGGCTGGTCAAAAAACCGTAACCATAACCATCCTAATATATATGAAAATATAACTAAGCTATACTTAAATTATAAGTTATTTAAATGTATTTCAGGAATATTCTTGCATACAATCGGCAACATCCTGACTTCCCTATCACCAATGAACAACTGGAAGCATATGTTCCTAAATGGCTTGTATACTCCTTACTGTGGTCATTCTCTGGTGACGCTAAACTAAAGGTAAAATTTTGAATTGCTATACTACTTAACAAATTTCAATTTCGTTGTAACTTTACTAAGAAGTCATGTTTTTATTTCAGGATCGTAATGAATTAGGAGACTTCATAAGATCAGCCAGCACTATGCCATTGCCTAACTGTGGACCTAATCAACATATCATCGATTTTGAGGTATTACTTCTTAATATTGGGATAGAAAGTACATATTTTATAATACTACCTAATGTGTATCATTACCATACACAAATAAGTATATTCTATGTGGAATAAATAAGATGTTATATATTCTTGTTATATACACCACAATGGAAACGTACTAATTTAATACTACACTGCACACGGTAATCAATTTATATGAGACCAACATGTGTTTCGCCAATATATATTTTTTATTTTAGAAGTACAAGCAGTGCAAGTTGTTAATAGAATATGTTATGTTGTTAGGTGTCGATAACCGGCGAGTGGGTGGCGTGGTCGGCGAAGGTGCCGCAAATAGAGGTGGAGACGCACAAAGTGGCGGCGCCCGATGTTGTGGTGCCCACGCTGGACACTGTGCGACACGAAGCCTTGCTCTACACATGGCTGGCTGAGCACAAGCCACTTGGTAAATTTCTTTCCTAATACACCTTAGCTTATTGGAACCGAATAAAAATTAAATTAATAAGCTGACATCGAGAATACTCACTTGGTCTAAAATGCATATTACTAAAAATTTCCTTACTTCACTATGATAGTACTTATAAATGAAATCTCATATGTACTATGAACTACAATATCTCTATTTCTTTGTATAGTACTATGTGGCCCACCGGGATCTGGTAAAACAATGACGCTATTCTCGGCTCTGCGAGCTCTACCTGATATGGAAGTCGTCGGCCTGAACTTCTCCTCTGCCACCACTCCCGAGCTGCTACTTAAAACGTTCGATCATTATTGCGAATACAGAAAGACGCCTAATGGAGTAGTGCTCGCACCTGTACAGGTATTAAATAAAAACAATTAAAATCTAGTTGGAGAAAGTGAAACAAACTTACATTAGTTATCTCCCAAAAATTGAAAAAAAACTTGCAGTGCTGTGGGTTCATAATACCTGACAACATTAATTACACATTAGTTAATACGTTCTTTTCAAAATGATGCAGTTGTAATACATGCCAAATCAAAGTTATTTATATTTTATTTTCGCTTATTAGACACAATAAACAAAACACTGTCAGTGCAACCAATTACCGCCTTGTTTTTGTGTAATTAATAATATATAGCTATCAAAATATAACCATCATTTGTAGCTGGGCAAATGGCTGGTGCTATTCTGTGACGAAATCAACTTGCCGGATATGGATCAGTATGGCACACAGCGCGTTATTTCATTCCTGAGACAGCTGCTTGAACACAAAGGCTTCTACAGGGCAAGCGGTGAGTAAATTTAAATGCAACTCATCGTTTATTAAGTTTATCATAATATGTTTTAATAACACTTGCAAATATAGAGTTATGTATCTCGAACTATTGTCATCATTTAATCTCTCATTTGGTTATTGCGTGATTTTAATAGAGTACCTTCAATTTTTGTTTAATTTTATTTTGTGGACAGATCACTCGTGGGTGCACCTAGAGCGGATTCAATTCGTAGGCGCGTGCAACCCGCCCACGGACCCGGGCCGCAAGCCGCTGTCGCATCGGCTACTGCGGCACGTGCCTGTCATATATGTCGACTATCCCGGGGAGACGTCGCTCGAACAGGTCTCTAAATACCAACATATACTAACTACTAAGTAACACCCAGAGTAGTACACATTGTAACATATACATTATGTCGTTCCTTGCACACACATCTTTTTCCAAAAAGCCGCTTGTTCAATATAGATAAATACTAGCTGTGCCCACACTTTCACCCAAAATTTATAAGCTATATGTTATTCTGACGTATATAGGGTATATTCTTGTAAAGTTTCATTAAAATCCAATAGGTTTTGCGTGAAAGAGCAACAAACATCCGACCATTTATCTACACTCACAAACTTCCGCGTTTCTAATATTCTTTTGTAACAGTAAACATGTTATTATAAAAATAATTAAATTATATCAATATTTTCAGATTTACGGTACATTCACGCGGGCGATGCTCCGCATGCAGCCAGCTTTGCGTGGATACGCGGAGCCACTGACGCAGGCGATGGTGAAACTGTACCTCGCGTCGCAAGAACGGTTCACACAAGATATGCAACCGCATTACGTGTACTCGCCCAGAGAGATGACTAGATGGGTGCGCGGTATTTGCGAGGCTATCAGGTCTAGTACACATTGATTGCATTTTTCATATTCATTAGCATTTTTAGGGTTGGTTGTTGTTCGAGGAAATAATTCCTTGTCTATATCTCAGCTACTTATTCAATATTATAATGAGCAGTCATAATTGTTCACTAGTCGTGGATATGTACACAGGGCTGATGTAGCTTTTTAACCAACTCAAAAAAGAGACATGTTTTCTGTATTTATATGTAATGTAATAGTATTAGCACAGATAACATAATATTACATACAGATACCCCATCCCATACAAGAAAATGGTTCCTTCCTAACTCGGGCTATTCTTCGGGCTATTTTATTTCGCCACCGTAGCCGCTAGATGTCGCTAGATCTGAAGCAGTTCGGATTACTAGTGGGTGCTTAGTAACAAAGCATGAAAATAGATGGCAGTGAATTCAGTCTACATGACATCTGTTTTGCAAAGATATGTATATAATAGATATGTAGGTAACTGTATCGTGTACCTCATTAGGGACGATTCAAGATTCAATGTAAATGTGTAGGTATAATATTGTTAGCCGACACTCTGCAGATATGGCTTATGTGCCAATGTATATACCTATTGTGTTATGGTTTATTTTACATTCCATGCCTATTTTTTTTGATATGTTGTAACGCGTCTGCGCTATACGTATAGCCCGATTTTGATACTTTTATACTCGTACGTATCCAAATCGCTATATCTTATATATAAATTTTGTATCACAGTGTTAGTTGCCATATTTCTCCCACATTTTGATGAAATTTGATATGTATACTTGCCAGGTCTGAGGTAGGGTTGTTATCTATTTTTTAAACCCCTAAGTCACAGGGGTGGCCTACCCCGAAAAAATATTTTTTTGTATTATGGACAATTTTTTATTTATTTATAATGTTACATTGAAAATACATACACGCCAAAATTTTCACCCGTCTTTCACCAACCCCTATTTTTAATAGCGATATTCTTACAAATATTATAAATGCTAAAGTAACTCAGTCTGTCTGTTTGTCTCGCTTTCACGCCAAAACTACTGAACTGATTTAATTGAAATTTGGTAGACAGATAATGTAGACCCTGAGAAAGGCTACTTTTTAATGCGAAAAAGTATTGAAAGGGGAAATGAAAGGCTATATGAGGATATCGTAATTTTTAAAGTCAGATCTTGTAAGATTAAGTGAACAGGGTCGGTCTAGGTTTTTCATTATTAGAAATGTGTAACGGGGTAACACGTTATTTAGTGCGATATATTATAAAATTTAACGATATTATAATGATGTCACTTCGACACTCATTGCCTTACTACTATATCGTCCGTTAGTCGCGAACTTTCTGGAAACACGAGAGGCGCGCTCCTATTGGTCGGTCGGCGGTAGCGCGTATGAGTAGATGAAGTAGACGAGTCTCACGGCGCCGCAGCGTAAGTACTTACTATACATACGTAGTATACATATGGGTATTACAAATGTTTTTATTACTAGTAATATTACTCTGTTATCTAAGCAAGTAATGTGTGCTTATTTTGAACTTGATAACATTCTGAATTACTCGTATATCTTTCAATATCTTTAGCGGTATAAACCAGGTTATGTACTACTACTAGTATTGTTAGTGAGGGATAAAGTTGATGAACAAAAATAAAACAATATTCGTATTAAAAATATATTCATCTAATATTAGATATATATATATGATATATCTATATATCTATCTACCCATCTATAAGGGGTTTCTTTGTTATGTACCTACATTAAAAAATACTTTTTGAAATGTATGAAAGAAACGTATTGTATGAAATTTTTGAAATGTGTGAAATGTATGTTAATTTTTGAAATGTATGAAAGAAATGTATTGTATGAAATTTTTGAAATGTATGAAATGTAAGGACCTACATTAAAAGATAATTTTTGACATGTATGAAATGTATGAAAGAAATGTATGTACCTACATAAAAAGTTCATTTTTGAAATGTATGAAATGTATGAGATGTATGAAAACAATGTATGTACCTACATAAAAAGTTCATTTTTTAAATGTATGAAAGAAATGTATGTACCTACATTAAAAGATAATTTTTGACATGTATGAAATGTATGAAAGAAATGTATGTACCTACATTAAAAGATAATTTTTGACATGTATGAAATGTATGAAAGAAATGTATGTACCTACATTAAAATATAATTTTTGAAATGTATGAGATGTATGAAAGAAATGTATGTACCTACATAAAAAGTTCATTTTTGAAATGTATGAAAGAAATGTATGTACATTAAAATATAATTTTTGATGTATGAATGTATGAAAACATGTATGTAAAGTTCATTTTTGAATGTATGAAATAAATGTATGTACCTACATTAAAAGATATTTTTGACATGTATGAAATGTATGAAAGAAATGTATGTACCTACATTAAAAGATAATTTTTGATGAAATAATATTTTATAATTTTTGAAATGTATGCACCGTCCAATAACAATACACGTTAAACATCATACCACAGAGTCATACGCAAGTTAAAAACAAACTGCTATGATATTAATGAGAAAGGAAAATCAACTTTATGGTATTCGAGTTAGGGTCGATTTCTCTCTTTTTTTTAAACTATTTTAATCTTACCAGTTGCCAGTATTCGAAGACAGCTACGATTCGTACTCGATATTTTAAATTATTATGTAATCGATTTTTCAGTACAAATGTAAATAACCAACGACACTAATAATGTACTACTATATTCCGTTCTTTGAAACGGAACACTGCTATAATACAAAATAATGAAAATTTACTGTTCACAACGACTCATTAAAAGCATCATCGAATAATGCGCTGTAATAAAATCCTGTTATCGATTATTAAAAAAAATCGATAATACATATATTTATTTTTAATATGACAACACTTCATACATAAGTATTATTGGAAATAGTATTATTTGCTTGTTCGGCTATTTTTAATTTACTTAAACTTTTTTTATATGTTTAATTTACAATAATAATATATTTAGTGCTTATTATTGGAAAATATAAAAAAGACATTTAATTAGGCCGATACAAATGACAACAATGCCATCTATGAAAGCATTTTGAAAACATTGAGCCCCATATTAGCACTGATTAAAGTGTAATTAAGTACTGGAAAATAACAAAATGAGTAAATATATGAAAATTACTTTTCTAAACGCATTATTTCATTTTAACATGTATATATAACTTTTTAAAAATTGATTAAACATTTTTGAAAACACAGTTTTGTTTTTTAAAACGTTTGCAAAACTATGAAGAATTCCATCGATACCAATCACGCCATCTATATGCCACTTTTAGCAATAATAATGGCTACTTCCTCATTGAGTGCCACTGCCAACATATACTAACTACTAAGTAACACCCAGAGTAGTACACATTGTAACATATACATTATGTCGTTCCTTGCACACACATCTTTTTCCAAAAAGCCGCTTGTTCAATATAGATAAATACAGCTGTGCCCATTTCACCCAAAATTTATAAGCTATATGTATATATATAGGGTATATTCTTGTAAAGTTTCATTAAAATCCAATAGGTTTTGCGTGAAAGAGCAACAAACATCCGACCATTTATCTACACTCACAAACTTTTTCTAATATTCTTTTGTAACAGTAAACATGTTATTATAAAAATAATTAAATTATATCAATATTTTCAGATTTACGGTACATTCACGCGGGCGATGCTCCGCATGCAGCCAGCTTTGCGTGGATACGCGGAGCCACTGACGCAGGCGATGGTGAAACTGTACCTCGCGTCGCAAGAACGGTTCACACAAGATATGCAACATTATCTCGCCCAGAGAGATGACTAGATGGGTGCGCGGTATTTGCGAGGCTATCAGGTCTAGTACACATTGATTGCATTTTTCATATTCATTAGCATTTTTAGGGTTGGTTGTTGTTCGAATAATAATCTCAGCTACTTATTCAATATTATAATGAGCAGTCATAATTGTTCACTAGTCGTGGATATGTACACAGGGCTGATGTAGCTTTTTAACCAACTCAAAAAAGAGACATGTTTTCTGTATTTATATGTAATGTAATAGTATTAGTAATAAAGCAAAGGCACTTGTATATTACTAGTATTGTAGTAAATATAAGATAAATTAATGGACACATATGGTACATTTAAGTCAATTTGTAATATGGTACTCATTTATATTTGCTTTTGCAGGCCGCTTGACAACTTGTCTGTTGAAGGCCTGGTACGGTTGTGGGCACACGAAGCACTACGTCTCTTCCAAGATCGATTGGTGGAAGACTCTGAGCGACAGTGGACCGACGAGAATATCGACAATGTAGCCATGCGATTCTTCCCAGGTAAACTAACTAAACTTCCAAAACTACTAATAAATATGAATATAGTAATGACCATGCTGATGCTTCGTGGTCATTACCATATATAAGCAGGTAAAGCACTTTAATGTATAAGTTATATATAATAATAATAATGAATTAAATGAATAACAGAAATTGTATCTGGGTCTTATATATTTTTTATATTTATAATAGCATTGATATCACAAAAATAATGTTAATTAAATATAGTATATAAAATAAAATTCAGTATCAATAGAAAGTATACAGTTTAAAAGACAATTATACCATTGTTTATATTTCAAGTTTCACTTTTACTACTGTCTATCAGATGAGCCTAAAGTGTTGTAAAATTATATCAACATAGTAGAAAACACTAATGCAGTGCTTTTTTTGTACGGCTGTCATTTGTTATCATAAAAAGACATAGAACTTAATACATTCTTATTTAAATATGTTTATATTTTTTGTATAGGAATCAACAGAGAACAGGCATTAGAGCGGCCGATCCTATACAGCAACTGGCTAAGCAAGGATTATGTGCCGGTACAAAGAGATCAACTTCGCGAATACGTCAAAGCTAGACTGAAGGTAAAAAATATATCCACTACCTTTTAATAACTAAACATAGTTTATAGTTATCGCAGTATAATTAGTATTTAATATTGTTAGTCTATAATATTAAAACGTATTAATTGTGAAATGGGTATAGACTTATGTCAGTGACCATTTTTAAAACCTTTTGTATTTCGTTGACCTTTCCTCTTTTTTATTTTCTAATATATTACTACAACAATAAATTTGTTGTATCCCTTAGGTGTTTTATGAAGAGGAACTGGACGTGCCCTTAGTGCTTTTCGATGAAGTGCTAGACCATGTACTGCGTATCGACCGTATCTTTAGACAGCCGCAGGGGCATTTGCTACTTATTGGTGTCTCCGGCGCGGGTAAAACCACTCTCAGTCGATTTGTCGCATGGATGAATGGATTGAGCATATTCCAAATTAAGGTTAGTAGTTTAATTATTAATAATAATTTCTATTTTCGAAAGCAATAAAAGTACTGTGTACGTAAGTACACTATTATCCAATGAAATTACTATATGTAAAAATATAATAATTTCTCCAATATTGCGTGTCTTATCGTATATAATGCCCCGCACAAAAAATTTAACTCTTTTTATAAAGTTTGTTAATGATATTTTTTATCATGACAAAAAATATAGTCAAATTGATGTCGTTTAATAAAAATGTATTGATTTATTATATCTAAAAATGTTATAATTGATTTTGTTATAATGAATAACGTATATGGATTGTGTAAATTCTCGATTCTGTACATGTAAAGGTGCACAACAAGTACACGGGCGCGGACTTCGACGAAGATCTACGATCAGTGCTGCGTCGCTCCGGCTGCCGTGACGAGAAGCTCGCCTTCATACTGGATGAATCCAACGTACTCGACAGCGGCTTCCTCGAGCGCATGAACACCCTGCTCGCCAACGGAGAGGTAACATACTGTATATATAACATACTATACTATTTAACTGTCACAAATAACACTACATTAGTTTCATAGTAAGTATCGTTTAATACTTATTGTTCGTTTCGGGACACACATTACATTCATGTAATTAACACTTAAAATAACCTAATTACCACTGTAAAGTTTTTAATGTGAAAATAGTTTTACAACAATAATTTCTTAATTATTTTCTATATGAAATTTCACATTTATGTATTATACTAGGTGCCTGGTTTATTCGAGGGCGATGAGTTTGCCGCTTTGATGACTCAATGCAAGGAAGGTGCTCAAAGAGAAGGCTTGATGTTGGATTCCAACGATGAACTGTATAAATGGTAAAATGAAATAAGATTCATCACTATAAATTTAATTGTTATAAAATGAAGACAATCATAATAATTGTGTAATGTATAATCAGGTTCACCGGTCAAGTGATGCGTAATTTACACGTAGTGTTTACAATGAATCCATCGTCGGAGGGCCTGAAAGACCGCGCAGCGACTTCCCCTGCTCTTTTCAACCGTTGCGTTCTCAACTGGTTTGGAGATTGGAGTGATGGTGCCCTCTTCCAGGTTTGTATTGCTCCTGTTATGTAATCAACTGTTATGATCTGAGAAGTCTTAAAGTCGATAAAAACATATCTATTAACATATTTTGTTATAAGTAGTAATATATTCATAGATATTTAAATTATATATGTCCATATCTAATTTTTCAACATAGTTGCATTGTATGCATGGCATTATTGGAGCGGCCATTCTAAATATGTGCAAATGCATTAAAAACTTAATGCAAACATATTTTTGAAAAAATCCAGTATGAACTTACATATTCACAAAGAATATCTGTTCACTTGTTATTGGCAACATTTGGAGCTGTCTTCTTCGAAGTAGTATAAGTAAACAAACAATATTTAGTATCAGGGGCGTACTACAAATTCTTATTTCCAGACAGTACGGCTTTAACTGAACTGCATGGCGATTCAGTATTATGAACGGCTAATAGTCAGCCAGTCAGCGGTCACGTGACGAGCGAACGTTTTCCTTTAATGTCGAGCGAGTGGGTATTCGGTATGAGCGCAGGTGGGCAAAGAGTTCACGCGTCGCATGGACCTGGACTCGTCGGAGTACAGCGCGCCGGAAGCGTTCCCGGCGGCGTGCGGCGAGGTGGGCGCGCGGCCCGGGCAGCGCGACGCCGTCGTGAACGCCTGCGTGTACGTGCACCAGACGCTGCACCGCGCCAACGCGCGCCTCGCCAAGCGCGCCAACCGCACCATGGCCATCACGCCCAGGTAACCTGACCTACGGTACGGTCATCGTTTTACGGCTAGAGCTAGACCTAGCGGTCAGCACACCGAATCGCTTCCGACGATCGCGGGTTCGATTCCTCGCACGCCACGAACATTTCTATTCATGAGTATGATGTTTACTATGTATGAAACGAACGAAACGAAAAAAATATATATGTTTGTATTTGTATCGATTATCTAGTACCCATAACGCAAGCTTTAGGTAGGTTAACTTGGGTCTAGAGGTTGCTGTGTGAATTGTCCTGAGATTATTATTATTGTGCAAAGTTGTAAAAGTATATTGTGTGTATACTGTTAGGACTTTGTTCCAATCGTGCTTACTTCATCCGATAGTTGGAAATTAATATAGTAATCAATACAGTAATCACTTAGTCAAAATTTTGTTCTGCATTCTTCTGTATTATTCATGATCTATATAGGAATCTAACCAAATATGTAACATGTAAACTATGTAGGTATACAGTTACAACACAATCAGTAACATAATATACCTTATGTATATGTTGGAGGTGCAAATAAATAATGTTTCTATATTAGCATATGAATATGATTTCATATTCATATACCAATCACAATAGATATTTTAAACAGCGCTTAATACAAACAACTCGCAATCCTACAATTATAAATTAATTTGTAGGCATTACCTCGACTTTATACAACAAATGGTGAAGCTGTATGCCGAGAAACGCGCCGATTTGGAGGAACAACAGCTTCATTTAAATGTCGGTTTGGGCAAAATAGCAGAGACCGTGGAACAGGTGGAAGAAATGCAAAAAAGTCTCGCCGTTAAATCGCAGGTAATATATAATATAATAGGTATAATATATTTGCTTACTAAGTTTTATATTTGCTGAGTTGACCACAATAAATCTAATTATTTTCTTCGTATTTAGGAACTACAACACAAGAATGAGGCGGCCAATGCCAAATTGCGCCAGATGGTGAAGGATCAACAAGAAGCTGAAAAGAAGAAAGTTGAAAGCCAAGAAATTCAGGTCTAACAAAATTCATTAAATACTTACTGTTAGTAGTTATACGCGAAAAAAAACTAATGGACTGAAATGATAGAAATTTACAAAGCTAATGGATTACCATATGTTATTATGAATTTATATGATTATTCAGGTCGCTCTAGAGAAGCAAACAAAAGAAATAGAAGCAAAACGCAGAGATGTAATGGCTGACCTCGCGCAAGTGGAGCCGGCTGTCATTGAGGCGCAAAACGGTTTGGTTTTTTGCTTCAAATTGTTTTGTTTGAAACTAATCAACGGCTTTGGTTGAACCGTCTACTTTATCAGTCAATCAGTAATGGTTCATCTGAAGTCGTATACTTTTATTTCTTTCATACAGCAGCAAACATATAGATCATAGTAAATATACTATAAATAACCATACATGTAATGTCATTGTGTCAATAGTAGTATAATGTAGTGTGATTGCATAGTCATGTAACATAGAAACTCACATGTAGATCTCTTAACATTAGTTCAAATAGTCACACTTAAGATGCCTTAGAAAATATAATGTAAAACTTAAGAATTATTTGTTAAATAATATTTGTTAGTTTTTAATATTGTAGTTGTAGTCAGAACTCGTACCATATATTAGAATGACTACTTGTAATATGTGGTTAAATTACCATTTTTATGTGCTCATTATTCATACAATGCCTGTTATAGTATGATGATGAAATATATATCTCGCATGCTTTCATGCATTCTAAATGAAACAGCAGCTAATTTAATATTTGCATGATAAATGTAATTCTATATCCCACTGGTCTTTTAAACTTATTATATTATCAAATCTACCTAATACCTAATGATACTGTTTTGTTAAAGTAAAAACCTAATAATTCAAAACAATATCACAATTAAAACACTTGAACATAAATCTCTACAAGTGATTTATTCTGATCAAAATAACGTATCGATAGCGAATTTGCTGTATTTAAAAACTTAACAAAAAAAACATTTCAAATTATAATGGCAAAGCTTTTCGATTACTATGACATTAGTTAGATTGGTTCTGACTACAAGTACCTGTAGTATTAAATATGAAGACCACACACAGCGGTGCGCTCGATTAAGAAACAGCAGTTAGTGGAGGTGCGGTCTATGGCGAATCCACCGTCGGTTGTCAAGATGGCGCTCGAGTCCATCTGCACGCTGCTCGGAGAAAAGGGCGACACCTGGAAGGGCATCCGCTCTGTAGTCATGAAGGACAACTTCATATCCACTATTGTTAACTTCGAGACAGAGAACATCACGTTAGTCCACGTTCCTTGTATGTAGGCGATGGCGGGTCGTTTGCATATTGTATTATATAATGCAATCATAATTCTCATTAAATGTTTTATTAGTAATTGTTATATTTGTAAATTAGCATTTGAAACGACTTGCTATCCCTGTCTTTATTGATATATGTGAAAATGTAATTGTTAATATTTAAACATTTTAGATAGCAAAATAAGTTACATAGTTTACATTTATTGGCAAAAACATTTTAATTTGTACACAAAAATGTTCTAATGCATTAATTAATCTTTAAGTTTATTGTAATGCATAGTAGTTACACCTTAATATTTCTACTGTTTTGCTCTTGGTTGTACGTTTAATATTATTTATAAATAGTCACATTTTCGGTTATACATAAAAGCGCTAATTATAATGAGCGGTTACATTAATGGAAATGTTCTATCTTTATATTTAATAATGTAATTTGTAAATAAGCTCGCTTGCATTTTGTGACTGTTGTTATTAATATTATAAAATGTGACATAACACTGTGATCACTGTATGTATTGTAAAATGGCATCTGTGTAAGGCACCCTAATAGTGAAGTAGCATTCGTGACTAACATTGCTAAGCATTGTCGTGAACAGAAAAACATAACAACTCTCATGTCTTAACATTATAATATTGTTTTATTAAACTAATTAAACATTTTGTCTTAATGAAAATGGAACCGTGGAACAGAGTGTCGTCCGCTTTGCTGCGTTGGTCATTTGTGGTAAACGCTTATTGGAATATTTCATACATTTCATCAAATTGTCTGCGATTTGTACGTTTTCAGTCTATATGTTTAATTATTATTTCGAAGCAGTGGACAAACGAAGTGAAACGAACCGGTACTTATCACGGGACCATATTTAAACAGTGATCTAATTTCAATGTTAATCGTACAATAATGCTAGCCGCATGGTCACATTTAGCTAAATGCCTTTTTTTGTTTCTCTCTTTTTTGTACTCTCTCGCTCTTGCTTCGTGCTGGTGACGGACTCGACGCCTGGACGCACCCGTGGCGGCGAACTGTCATTTAAATATACAGCGGTGAAATCTATTAAGAAGCAACACCTGGTAGAAGTACGATCTATGGGCAACCCTCCAGCGATAGTAAAGGTTGCTCTGGAATCCATCTGCTTGCTACTCGGCGAGAACGCAACCGACTGGAAGGCAATCCGGGCCGTCATCATGAGAGAGAACTTCATCAATAGCATCGTCTCCAACTTCTCTACTGAGGACATAACGTGAGCACCTCTGCAGCTTGAATACCCACACCCTCCTCATAAATTCAAAATTATGGCGGTGTTTGGTTTTTATTTTATTTTGGTCTCCGTCAAAGTCCTTTATTTTAGTCGTAATTTGGGCAATGTTTAGTGCTTGAAGCATGCTTGTTGCACATGTTATAATGACTTTATTGCACTTATTTAGTGACAATTGCATGTTCATGGTGACGGTTAACTAAGTTCAATATTCTGTGACATGTTATATAGTTACACTATTGAAATATATTTACATCATCACTGGACTAACAAAAATTTACAAGAAATATTGTTTTTTTTTTTAGTGTTTTAATTTTGAGTTGAAATTAACTAAGTGACGAACAATACCATACAGAGTATACCAATAAATACACCGTTATTTCAATGATACTCCGTTCATATTTTTTTACAGTATGTTACATATATATTCGATATTTATCAAACAATTTAAAACAATGAATTGTAATTTAAATTTATCTTAGTTGTATGGTGACTATGTCACTTATATCTAACTGAAATATATGCCAAAAATAAAATCGCGATATTATTGCATATCTCATACTATACCCGGAATATGCTTCAATGTATTTGCCAATAAATAACGTTCGTCTTTGAAGCAGTTGAAGTCACTATCGACAGTGAAACAATTAGCTTTTTCTGTTTTTATTTTACCTTTTGTTTTTGTTTGCTATCTAATGTGTCTTTCTATCACGCAGCAACAAACATTGGGTCGTATATCTATCTATAAAATTATGTTTGCTGTGTGTTGGTAAGTGAAGTCCCTTCTATTCTCCTAATTTAACAGGTAACTTTAGAATAACAGGGGATTTTTTTGCATGGATAAATAAATAAATAGTCAACGATTCCCATGGGTCATTATTATTTTTATGGTTAAAGGCATTGCACGAACAGCACGTTGCAAAATAGGTAAATGACAGTCTCAAGTAACGTGACCTTATTTTAATTACATATATATTTGCCAGTGACGATGTTCGCGAGAAAATGAGGACGCGCTATCTAAGCAATCCCGACTATAACTTCGAAAAGGTGAACAGGGCCAGTATGGCTTGCGGCCCCATGGTCAAATGGGCTATTGCACAGGTAAATCTATTAATATCTTGCACGTTCTTGTAACTTACATGATTGGATAAGTCGTAATGTTGATTAGTATCTAAAATTTAAATTACCAGAATGTAACATTAATTGAAATACATAACTTTCAAAGTACCATACTGTTCTAGAACTATTATTAATAACCAACAGTTATAGTTTATCTTCAGTACGATATGAATAAATTATTTTTGATTAATTTTATTGAAAAAGATAACATTAAATGGGTAGTTTAATTAAGAAACCTTTATACCTATTATGTTTTTAGATTGAATATGCAGACATGTTAAAACGCGTAGAACCACTGCGCAATGAGCTGAAAGCTCTCGAAGATCAAGCTCAAAGCAACGTAAAGGCAGGTGATGGGGTGCGGGAACTGATCGCTCAACTAGAGAAGTCGATAGCTTCGTACAAGGAGGAATACGCGCAACTTATCAGCCAGGCGCAGGCTATTAAGACTGACCTGGAGAACGTGCAGGCTAAGGTATTTCAAATATTCCTAAGTATGTCTAACTTAGGATCGTTATTATCTCAAGTAGATGAGGTGATAAAATATTAGTTTAGATCTTCCTATATCTTACTTAGGTGACCTAATTTATTTGAAAAGTGCTTTTTGTTATTATTTTATACAATACAGTAAAGTTGAAAGTGTAAAAAACGCAGGTTCAGTCTTTATTAAATGATAAGTGTCATTAATTTAATGGTAGAATGACTACTATATCATTATATACTTCTTGTTTCGAAGTGTATTTATTGATATCAAACTTCTACCACTAAATACTTATTAGTTTTATTTCCCTAATTTTGTTAGGATCAACGGTGTAATTTGTCTGTAGAACATAATACAATATAAGTTAGATGTAATAACGATAATATAATTTTAACTGATAACGTTTGTATGTACTATTCAGGTCGACCGATCAATAGCGCTATTGAAGAGTTTGGTAATTGAACGGGAACGATGGGAATCAAGTTCGGAGACATTCCGCTCGCAGATGAGCACCATTGTTGGTGATGTATTACTCTCCGCTGCCTTTATCGCTTATGGAGGATACTTTGATCAACATGTGAGTTTACTAATGAAAATGATTATTATTCCTTGAATTGCGGTGCAACAAATAAAATTGGTCGTAAATTTATTTAATTTTTACTAAAATGGGGTTTTAATACAAAATCATGGGCATGGGTACATTTTTCTAATACTTCGATGTGGTTAACAGTGTTAGTGATATAATAATAAGATATAAATATACTGTATTGTTAATCAAGCACAGTTTGGTAACTAATTAAACTAAAACTTACTTAAACTTGTGTACACTTACCTTAATCGCACTTGTTTCTGATCAGTACCGTCAAAACCTGTTTTCAACGTGGACAGCGCATCTAGCGGCCGCCAACATCAAGTACCGCGCGGATATCGCACGCACCGAGTACCTCAGTAATCCCGACGAGCGCCTCCGCTGGCAGGCCAACGCGCTACCCACAGACGAACTCTGTGTCGAAAACGCTATCATGCTTAAGGTAAAGAGAAACAAAAAATACTATGAGCACAATACATCTATGCAGATCGTAGTGTTACATGTCTCTTTAGAACCGAGTAACAGCCCAAACTCTTTAGTAAAAAAAATATAAAATATTTTTTATACAATCATATGGATTAGTGGCCCATATTTTGTGCATCTCACTGGCTACCGAGTTGATTATGATATTGTGAAGTTTATTTGATAATCAGTATTAAAATACTTATTCTTACAATAATACTATTAATATGTCAGGACAGCACCATCTAGTCCCAAATTATAATTGAATGAAATATTTTAACATTAACTTCTATCAAATATTCGAAAACTTTATAATTTGCGTACCATATTTTTATCTTTAATACAGTGAACTCAGTATTCATTGTGAGTTCTTTGTATATACACCTCGTATAATTTTTTTTAAATATGTATAGTAATAATATACAGAATATTATTAAATTAATGTTCTCATTTGCAGCGTTTCAACCGGTACCCTCTTATCATCGATCCGTCCGGTCAAGCGACAGAGTTCATAATGCGTGAATTCAAAGAACGCAAGATCACCAAAACGTCTTTCCTTGATGACTCATTCAGGAAGAATCTCGAATCAGCTCTGCGATTCGGCAACCCGTTACTTGTACAGGTGATTACATTTTTATATCTTCTCTGTACTGAAACTTGTTACATTAATGTATATGATAGTAGTTATATACATATGTTCTGTAGAAACTGAATAAATTCTTTAAATGAAATTAAATTCTTTTTTAAAGTTTACAACTTTAGAAGTCAGTACAAAAGCAAACAGACAATTACGTTTCCGCATTGTATATTGTAAATATGTACTTTTTCGATGTAATAACGATTATATTTTAATTATTTCTTTATATTCGTAAAGAAAAATCGTAGGCCACTATATAATATAGCCAATCTCTATTAAGAACGTAATAATATTGTACTAGAGGAACTATTGCATTTATTATATATTAAACTAACTGTCCCGGCAACGTTGTTTTGCCTTAAAAAAAAAAATTGTGGTGGACTACCCCTAACATTTAGGGGGTTGAAAAATAAATGTTGGCCGATTCTCAGACCTATTCAATACGCTAACAAAATTTCATGAGAATCCGTCAAGCCGTTTCGGAGGAGTATGGGAGCGAAAACTGTGACACGAGAATTTCATATATAAGATATTGCATTACTATGCAGCTGCTGATAAGTGACAACCGAGATCATATAAACACGAACAGTGCTACGGATATAATAAAATAAGCTATGAAACTCATGGTAATGTAAAATTTGGTAAATACAGGACGTAGAGAATTACGATCCGATCCTGAACCCAGTGTTGAACCGCGAGCTACGTCGCACTGGTGGCCGTGTGCTGATCACGCTGGGCGACCAGGACATTGACCTCAGTCCATCGTTTGTGATTTTCCTCAGCACCAGGTAACAAAAGATACTCCATTACAACTATTTTAGTAGTTTGATTTTGATTCTGTTTACTTTTGTTAGTGGACAGTTAAAATTATTTTTATAATACAACACAAATTTATCAGCTTACCATTTTAACCAATCTCAGTCCCCAGGAAAAACTGACTAAAGTATATCAGATTACCTCTATTCAATGAAATGATCACTGTGAACGAACTCCATTCAATACCATCGAAATGAATCCTAATAAAGTTTTGATGCTACTGAATATAAAATTTATTACGTTTTCAGGGACCCTACGGTAGAGTTCCCACCAGACATGTGTTCCCGGGTGACGTTCGTGAACTTCACCGTAACTAGGTCCTCACTGCAGTCGCAGTGCCTGCACCGCGTGCTTAAAGCTGAGCGACCCGACATCGACACTAAGCGCTCAGACTTGCTCAAACTTCAAGGTAAATTATCCCCAGCGACCTATTAATCTATAATTACAAACTTGTGATGAAAGTTCTTTATATTATTAAATTGGAAATTAATGTAACAATTACTCGTTACAAATCATTCCATAAAAAAAAACGTTGAAAATTGTATTCTAACTACAAATGGACATTATATAAAATTAAATTAGGAGTAGAAAAAAATCGGTTTAATTAATAGTATCTAAGAGAATTTTTTTATTCTAGGTGAATTCCATCTACGATTGCGTCAGCTAGAGAAGTCTTTGCTTCAAGCTCTAAACGACGCTAAAGGGAAGATCCTAGACGATGACTCCGTCATAGCCACGCTGGAAACACTTAAGAAAGAAGCTGATGATATTGGACAGAAGGTAATAAATATTATATAATACATATAACTAATAGTAAGTTTTGATTTCTTTTAAACAGTGTTTCAATTTGAAATTCAATGTAGCCTTTGCTGTCTGTCAGAAAAGCCTACCCTGGGCTCACTCACTCTGACAGAAAATGAGTTTATATGCATTGTTATTATAAAATGGTTATAATTCTTAATACTCGTACTCATATGTCGTAAATACGTCGTATGTAAGCAACAGTAACTATTTCCATCTGATAGGCCAATTGTTTATTAGGCATTCGGGATTTAAAAAAAAATAAAGGCAGTTGTGCCATTGTTTCACATTAATTCACGTATTGCTTACAAATATAATACATTTTACAGGTGGAAGAAACTGATAAAGTAATAGCAGAAATTGAAACTGTCAGCCAGCAGTATTTGCCACTATCTCAAGTAAGTAAATATTTACAAAATTGATAGTACTAAGTTTATCCCAAATGCTAAACTTTTTTAACGTTTGTTTTCATTCATATTTTTATTATATTTTGTACAGTCTGTTTGTTCAGTTCAATGTGTTAACTATCTCTATAGTGAAGAAAGAAATATGAATATAAATTTTCAACCAGAAAACATTAGAATTTGCGATCCACTTCCGCTTCATAACTTTACTTTTTTAATGTATTGTATTTGAAACTTGTGCAGGCTTGTAGCAGTATCTACTTCACAATGGATTCCTTGAACCAAGTGCATTTCCTGTACCAGTATTCACTCAAGATGTTCCTGGACATATTTAGCTCTGTTCTTGTGTGTTCTCTACTCAATGGTGTCACCGATTATACTGCTAGATTGAAGATCATTACTGAGGAACTGTTTTCCGTATGTATCATTTCTTATTATGTTAAAGAATAGCTTTTATGAGAATATGATTTATAAATAGAATATACAAAAAATTACTTATTTGGAAAGGAGTTTTAGAACAAGAAGAATAAGCAAGAAACTTTTCTGTTCCTGTTTTAGCCAAATGTTGTAAAGTAACTTACTTACTGCATTTTAAAATAAAGATACATATATATTTAGATTTTAAAATGTAGTAACTACCAAGTCATATGAATTCATTCGTATAGTGTAAATGGAAATTACATGTACAGGCCGTGTATGAGCGCGTGGCACGTGGTATGCTGCATACTGACCGTCTGACGTTCGCGCTGCTGCTGAGCCGCATCCAGCTGAAGGGCACCGGCGCCGACGACACGCTCGACCGGTCGTTCGGGGTGTTCCTCCGCGGCAAGGAGGGCTTCGTGTCGCACGCGCCCGCCGCAGACAACCTGGCGCCGCACCAGCACCACGCCGCCGCCAGGCTCGCCACCAGGTCACACACTCATGTTATAATATCCACACAGGACATAATGTAATAAAACAGCACAACTAGAGAAACCTCGCGTCGTCACCTCGCGCACTCCCGCATCCCTGTATCTCCCGTGCTTTAGCACCTTTTTAAATAATCAATAATCATTGCAAAACGGCGGACCTCTGACTAAGGAGTAAAAATATAATTATATAGCTATTGACTATTAAATCTTAAAAGTCTAGAAAATAAAATGTCTTGATTTGACGAAAAGTTCAGTGCTGAGTATTACAGGCATTTAAAAATGTCGCGTATGAGAGAATCGCACAGAGCAAATTAACTTTTTTGCGTTAATACAAGTTGAAAGATTCCATTCCAACAAAATCTAGAACTTGTATTTAATAGTACCCGACGTTATGGTGTCGTGGTCGCTTTCGCAGACTGCCGCCGTTCCGGCGCCTGCTGGAGAAGGCGGGCGAGCTGCCGGAGCTGGGCGCGTGGCTGGCGCAGGCCGCGCCCGAGCAGTGCGTGCCCACGCTGTGGGACGGCGAGCCCAGCGCCCCGCCCGCGCCCCACACGCTCGCCATGTACCGCCTGCTGCTCATACAGGTCACTCACACACATCCTCACACCGCACGTTAACGCGAATCTTCTTATGAGCCCACTATACATATACAAATAGAGACATAGAAATGATCTTTTTTGAAATAAACTTAATAAAAGCACTTTTGAATAGTTTTTTTTTATTCTACCACTCATTCGGTACGCAGACATATAAGAATGATCAAGAAACTTGTGTGTTGCTCTTTTAAATAAATGTTGTTTTAAATAGATTTACATTAACATATATTTTCTTCTAAGTAACGAGAATCGAATTTGCCTCTCTAAAATAAGTTTGGTAGAAATCTCGGGATGTTACGTTCACGTTTTATTTATTCTTATTAAGTTCCCGATATCGGGAATTATTATTTCCGAGAAATAGGGAATTATTATTAGCAGTTATTTAATAAATAAAACATTAAATTACTGAATAATGGTAATGTGTATAATTCCGCCCAAATGTGAATCTAATTTTCATTTCTTTATATCCCACATCAGGCATTCAGACCGGATCGTGTAATAGCTGCAGCTACCCAACTGGTCGCCGCGGTACTCGGCTCTGGATTCATGGCTAAAGCAGAAACTGAACTGGACTTGGTTTCTATAACAGAAAACCAACTAAACGCTACAACACCTGCTCTACTCTGCTCCGTCCCTGGATACGACGCCAGCGGTAAGAAATATATTAATTTCTTTTGTGTGATATTAGAGCTGCCAGAATTTATTTTTAAATATTACTGTTTTTATATATTTTTTTATCAGATGAGTCAGTTGTAGTAAACAAAAATCCTTGCCCTAAAAATGCGAAAGCAATCAACTTATATAAAATAAAATATAAATGCTCGGGATAAGCATATTTTGAACATCTATAAAATGTATTGTTGTTCCATATCATAGGACGCGTGGACGACATGGCTACGGAAATGAACAAGCCGCTATCGAGCATAGCCATCGGTTCAGCTGAAGGATTCAACCAAGCAGAACGGGCTATCAACACCGCTTGTAAAACGGGACGGTAAATACGATCATAAAGCTTTTTCATCATAATAGCATTCACAACAAAATCGCGCGACAGTTGAATAGCTGTTATTTTGGGCCCTCATACCTTAAACCGTCCCACACATCAGAGGAGTCACATGATGAAGTCATTTGACTGCCCTGACACTCATCATAAATTGACATTCCTGCAGACGAAGGTCCTGTGTCATACTGTATTTTCCAAAACCGTGTTTACTCTTTCTTATAGCAAGACACAACTTACAAAGCAAGCAGCCTAGCGACGACTATGAGTTTAGATTGGTAAAATAACACCAAAACATTCCAGATGGGTGATGCTTAAGAACGTACACCTGGCACCCGTATGGCTCGTACAGCTGGAGAAGAAGCTGCACTCACTGTCGCCGCACCCGAACTTCCGACTTTTCCTCACCACAGAGATCAGTCCCAAACTTCCGGTGAACCTTCTGCGCGCCGGCCGCGTCGTGGTCTTCGAACCGCCACCTGGCATCCGAGCCAACTTGCTGCGGACCTTCGCCACCGTTAGTACAATCTTTTACAAAAACCTATTGGATAGAATGAGAAAAAAGCCAATATCATCAATATGTTCTTTTTCATTACAGGAAATAAAAATATAATAATATTTTTGTGGATATCGTGTCAATATTGCACTGTTATTTAAATAATTATTTTTTTATTTTTAGTTATACACTATTAGACAGAAGACATTATTACTGCTTGGCTGTATTTACAAGTAATATGGATTCAGTAGTACATATTTCTTTGCCAATAGTATCTGAATTAAGTTTATAGTATTTGTTTGATTTCATTATTCAAATTCATTTGTCGTGCACAGGTGCCTGCTGCTCGTATGATGAAACCTCCGTCAGAACGCGCAAGACTCTACTTCTTACTGGCCTGGTTCCACGGTAAAATAAACGAGTTTACAATTATTAGATACTGTATTTTATTATCATGTTTTCTATTGTTACTCTTGCACATCCAAATATCCAAAGATACTTGCAATTTCTCTTATATCACTCTCTCTCCTCTCTGATCCCTTTATTAATCTATATAGTACTGCCATATTTCATTGAAATATCCAAAGCCCCTCTTTTCAACAACAAAATATTACCTAGACTCTATATATTTTTTCTCAGAATCTGACAGATAGGGGTCCACTTTGCCAATATGTAACAAAATAATGTTTTGTATAGGTATCGTGCAAGAACGTCTCAGGTACGTGCCACTCGGGTGGGCGAAGTACTATGAGTTCAACGAGTCGGACCTGCGTGTCGCCTGCGACACCCTCGACACTTGGATAGATGCCACTGCAATGGTAAGAATTATCATATTTATCAACAAAAAACATTACAGAAGGTACGCATATTACTTCGTATTATCTTTCCCAGTCAATATAATCACACTTAAGTGGGTGAATGTATTACATTGAATCAGGGAAAAGCTTGGCTTGTTTTTAATTATATTTGCTTGCCCATAAAGCGTTTGGTATTACTTATTTAATGGAAATAATTAGATTTAATTCCAACACTAAAGGAGAATATAAAATCATATTTTTAAAAATAAACTTTCACGAGAAATATTATAATTATAACCCTAGACAATTTATACCACATATTCAATTCCCAAGCTAAGCAGATCTTATATTATGGATACTAAACAACTGATATAAATACTGAAATATAAATTTCTTTTAATACATATACAATATACACAGAATACAAATAATATTAAAATGAATTAAGGTGAAAAAAAATGAATAAATTGCATTGTGCAAGGAATCGAACACTCGACCATCGGAAATAAAATAGTATGTTAAATTGTTAGCCCAGCAAGGTTGTCATAAAATAACTAGGTATTATCCCAAAATATCTTTCGAATCAACGGTATGCTGTTGCTCTAGAACGCCAGCATGATTACGTTACCAGCGGTAGGGTACTATCGTCATAGTAAATAATGTGTCAGGGTCGCACCAACTTGCCGCCTGAGAAGGTCCCGTGGGAGGCGTTGGTGACGTTATTGTCGCAGTGCATCTACGGAGGCAAAATCGACAACTCTTTCGACCAGCGCCTGCTGCACTCATTCCTCTGCAAGCTTTTTACGCCGCGCTCATTCGAAGCGGACTTCGCGCTCGTCGCCAATGTAGATGGGGTGAGTAGATAATAACAATAATAAATAGCACTGGACAATTAACACAGCGCCATCTAGTCCCACAGTAAGCAGAGCTTGTGTTTGGGTACTAGACAACTCATATAAATACTTAGATGTTTTTTTGTAAATACATACATAATATACATAGAAAACGTCCAGACCGTTACAAACAATCATACTTATGAATACAAATGTTTACACGTGAGGAAATGAACCCCGATCATTGGAACTAAAGCAGTGTATCTATAGGATATATCAAATGTTTTTGTAAATTAACCGAAATTTATTATTTTCATCCATTCACAAAAACAAACTTTATTTTTAATGCTGCAGTAGTTTTTTGGCCATTCCTCGAAGGAATTTCAATTCTTACAATAATACCCAATTGTAACATTTTGTGTAACGTCAGGCAACTGGTAACCAACGCCACATCACAATGCCTGATGGCAACAGACGTGACCACTTCCTTAAATGGATCGAGGAGCTCTCCGACCGTCAGACCCCATCCTGGCTCGGACTGCCTAATAATGCAGAAAAGGTAACGTATTTTTTTAATTCAGTGTTTCAAAATTTTGAACTTTTTTAGAAAATAATGAAAATGTAATATTATTAATACAAAGGATCACCAACTAGGCTTCTATGATATACTGTAAATTAGCACATTAGGTCACAGGGACAGCGCTAATTTACGTAACTATAAAGTAAAAGTACATACAACCATCAGTAGAAGATGGTTATGTACTGAAGGTATGTATATACTAGATTAAAATTGTATTCAATAATAGTATTGATATATATTTCTATAGAATTTTATCATTGACTCAAAACATTTTCGTCTTTTATACTAGGATTAATTTTTATTTTATCATTTAAATAATTTTGTGCAATTTTGAATTCGGTATTGTGGTTTAAATATTGTAGGTCCTTCTCACCAATCAAGGCAGTGACCTTGTATCAAAACTGCTCAAGATGCAGCAGCTTGAAGATGAAGAGGAGCTCGCATATAATGCTGCTACTCAGGATGACCCCAGTATGTTCATTTCTACAATTTCAATTGATATTATGTTTAATAATTCAATTTATATACTCATTAAATATTTGTTCCTTTAGACTCAATGGTGGTGGAAGGCGACGGAAGACCCGCTTGGATGAAAACTCTTCACCAAACTGCAACAAACTGGTTGCAACAACTACCACAGGAACTACCTGTAATTACTTTTATATATTTTATGATTGGAATAGAGTTGTGATAGTGTAAAAGTAATAAATAATGTTAAAAAGAAAGTGTTACGTATTTAGATATAAATATTTTATTTGTTTTACAATTGTTAGTTTAAAGTAATAAAATAGGATTAGTAAACTAAATTTGAATATTACAGACACTTCGTCGTACAGTGGAGAACATAAAGGACCCTCTGTATCGGTTCTTCGAGCGCGAAGTGGCCGCCGGTGCCTCCCTTCTCCAACAAGTGTTGCACGACCTGCGGAACGTCATTTCCATCTGTGAGGTACATATGTCATTCATTCCTTTATCATTCTTTTGAATATATCCTGTATATTTTGTAATAGTTGACTATATTTTAAACCAATATTAGCAATCAACTCAAGTTACTTCCCATTCGTCTTCGCAGGAATTTTCACATACTATCCCTTCTTACACCATTCTTTTCCATCTGGAGGGATCTCCAGAATATTTAAAAACGAATTTCCAATTTCACAGTAAATACCCGGGTTCTGCTTTAACCTTTAACCAGAAACTTGACACCCATGGGCTTTTACTCATATATACTTTAAAATGCTAAGAATGCCTGAAAATCGTTAATTTTGATGTCATATAGCCTTCCATGCAAAAAGAACCTAAGTCTTAAAAAAATTGTCCATTTTAAACATATCTTGCCTGGGGAGCGCTATATGGCAACTGATTTTGGGAGCGCTTTCGCGCTCCTATCAATTTTGATACAGGCGCGCAGGAACACAATCGCGCTCCTCGGAACTCTAACAGTTTATCCGGTAACGAGTCGGCTGTGATTGAATATGTGCATCGTTTATTACAGGGCTCTATGAAGCAAACGAACGAGACGCGCGCGATGGTGGGCTCGCTGGTGCGCGGCATGCTGCCGAGTGGGTGGCGGCGGTACGCGGTGGCGCGCGGCTGCACCGTGCAGCAGTGGGTCGGGGACTTCGCGCAGCGCGTCGCACAGCTCGCGGAGGTGTCTCGCGCCGTCGCCGACCGCGGCGCCAAGCGGCTCCAGGTACGAGCGCGCGGTGGTTACTTCAACCGTTACTGTACCTTACTATAGTCTGTTTTTTTATCTCAGAGACAAATTTGTAATTACATGTGTTACCAGCTTTTTGCCATTCTAAATAGTGTTAATATTAATTACCGATTTATATCGGTTACACTCGAACGATCAAAACGAAAATTAGTTACATTGTCAATTTTGAATCCGAGATATAAAAAACGGACTATAATTTTTTTTTCTGTAGTTTATTATATTTCCTCCGTTTCCTCGGTTTCCTCGAAAACAGATTTCCTACGTTCTGTGAAATGCGAAATAAACGCCCTAAAAATCTGAAATCGAAGTCGGTCTCGCGTTTGGACAGAGATTTATTATTATTATATATAAAATCGGATTGTTTGTATACAGAGTATTCCGGTTTGGCTTGGCGGTCTACTCAATCCGGAAGCATATATAACGGCAACTCGTCAATGTGTGGCCCAGGCCAACTCATGGTCGCTTGAAGAGTTACACTTACAGGTAATGCAACATTGTCCTTTCATTAAATTATTAACTTTAATGTGCAAGGCATTGTAATTTATACTTATACAAATTATAGGTGACTATTCCTGATCCGGGTACTCCAACAGACAACGCTCAGTCAGAATGGTCGTTCACCGTGACTGGGTTGAAGTTGCAGGGCGCCACGGTAAAAGGGAACCGGTTGTTGCTCACTAACACCATCATGGTGGACTTACCACTTACTGTTCTCACATGGATACGGTAAGGAAGCACATTTAGTACATAAAAGAGATTTCTATTTTCCTCTATATCAGAAGTTTCTATGATTTTTTTGTTTAAATATTAGACAGATAAAATACTGTAATTGTAACATACAGCAAAGAAAAGGCATAAACAATATATTAAAGAGCACACGTACAATAAGGCGACCTTATTACTGAAAGCAATCTTTTTAGGGCAAACTGACTGAAACGGATTTTAATATCGAACAGGTAGGTAATATAAGAACAGGAGAAAAGTAACAAACATAATGGTAAAGAAAATAATAATAATCATAATAATGAATTAAAATTTATGTAAATAATAATTCATATACTAAACTAGATACACCGACACGAACTACATGCATATTATAAACATACATAATTTTTAAATATTCTGTATGTAATTAAAATTAAATAAAATATTTTATTAAAAGCGACAACATCGTATTCGTGTCTCGCAACATATCGTAACAGTGATGTCCTTGATAACAGTGGGGCGGAGCCGGCGAGCGCGGGCCAGACGCTGACGCTGCCGGTGTACCTCAACAGCGCGCGCTCCGAGCTGCTGTTCACCGTGCGGCTGCCCATCGCCGCCGGCCAGGAGCCGCACGCCTTCTACGAGCGCGGCGTTGCACTACTCACCTCCACCGCACTCAACTAATTCACCCACTAGATACTAAAGCAGGCCGCATTATATCGCACCGCTTCACACATATTTATGTTATACTTCCTCGTCCACTGTAGGACAAATATAATCGCAATTATTTATTATATATGTAAGCTTGTCTCAATATAACAACAATACATACTTATAGAACAATCGTGTTTTTATTATGTTATTGTCTTATTAATTATGTGAATGAAGATTAAGTGATAATTGAATGGTGCTGCCGGGTGGAAGAATATATAGGTAATAGGTATGCCAAATCGGTTGAAAGTTTGGTATAGTAAAGCTTGTATGTATACAAACATATTAGTTTTTGTTTTAGTCAAAAATACCTATTAGTTTTGATTTTATAGGCATTTAAACTTACTATAAATTTCAAGTCCCGCTAACAGTCACGTGATATGTGACGTCATTTTACAACGCTCCGCTCCGCTTAGTAGCGAGTCGCGGGCGGTAGGTCAGTAGCTAAGGAGTTTGTGCACTATTTTGTTTTGTTTTCATACGCGCATTACGATAATATTCTATTAATGAAATGGATGAAGGAATCGAAAAAGGGCAATCGGATTGTAGTATATATAGTCTTTGGCATAATTAATATTGTTCATAACGTACGCTGTGCAGTTGACAGAGCCGGATTGTAAAAATGGCGGGAACGGCCTAATTAAATGTGAAGAGCAATTTAGCATTTTATTTATTTAAATATTTAAATACAGTACAAATTGGCGACGAGTAATAATTCACGTGTGTAATTAAGTCTGCATTAATAAAATTGTATTGTTAATGTTTGTGATGGCTGGTTACGGAAACATAACGTTTGGCGGTAGCCTCACCTTTGACCACCGCTCTCAGGAATGGAGCATATTCAAAAGTCGCTTTATTCAGTACTGCACCGCAAATGATATTAATGAAGAGAATGATAAAAGTGGAATAAAACGGCGAGCATTATTATTAATGGCTTTGGTGGAAGACACATACCGCGTAGCGCGGGATATCATTTTTCCTACGCCATTAGAAAGTGAAGAATATAAATATCACTTGGAGAAATTAGATACTCATTTTTCTTCAAGAAAGAGTACATTCGCAGAACGTTATCAATTTTATAAGGCAGAACAACGGTTAGGAGAAGATTTGGCTGAATGGGCGGCACGAGTGCGACATTTAGCGCAGTATTGTGGATTTAAAACAGAGCTGGAGACCGCTTTGAGAGATCGTTTTGTACTGGGATTGGAAAACGCAAGAGAGAAAGAGAAATTATTTGCAGAATCCATTGATACGCTAACGTTTAATAGGGCGTTAGAAATAGCGCAGAATGTACGGTGTGCCCGGATCGCATTGCAAGCGTCGCAGACAAAAGAGAGCGCGGGCGGCGCGGCTGGCTGGCGGCGGCCTCAGCTCCAGGAGGAGCCGGTTTACGCGCTGCGCACCGCCCGCACCGAAGCCGCGGCGGCGGCGGAGCTTCGCCGGTTACATTTAACTGCTCGTCATAATGTTAATCAAAATGTGGTTTGTGAAGTGTGTGGGTATAAAAACCATACAAAAGAAAAGTGCCGTTATGCTGAGTTCATATGTCGAAAGTGTAATAACAAAGGTCATTTACAACGAATGTGTAAATCTAAGGTTAAAAATTGTAAATACTTGGCTGTGGATGATCACGACGACATGGTTGAAGGTAATTTTGATTTATTTAGTATAGAGTGTGTGGACGGAAAACCGATGCGCCAGGTGGTGTCTATAGACCATAGCGACGTTCTATGCGAGATAGATAGCGGCAGTGCGGTGTCAGTCCTGCCGGCTCACATATACGATTTGTTTTTTAAAAGTAAATATAACCTTAAGTGGTGTAATGTGGTGTTAAATTTATTTGCAAAACTACATGCAATTTTCTAAATTAGATTTGTGTAGGGCCTATAATCAGCTAGAATTAGATGATTCTAAATATTTAACATGTATTAACACCCACAAAGGTTTATTTGTATATAATAGGTTAGTGTTTGGTTTGTCTAACGCACCTTTTATCTTCCAGCGGACAATGGAACAGTTACTGGCAGATATAGAGGGTACATGTATATTTTTAGATGATATTTTAGTCACAGGATGTACTAAGGAACAACATCTCGAAAGGTTGGAACAGGTTTTAGGAAGATTACAGGAAGCAGGTCTACGGTTAAAACGAGAAAAATGTGAACTATTTAAGGATAGCGTAGAATATTTAAATTGTAGTTGTCCGAAGAATGTTACAGAGCTCAAATCATTTTTAGGGATGGTGAACTATTATAGATATTTTGTTCCTAATACGTCTAGTGTGTTGAGTTCCTTACATGCATTATTAAAAAAAGACAAAATGGAATTGGGGAGAGGACCATAATTTTGCTTTTAATAAAATAAAATTAGAATTGTCATCGGATCGGGCATTAGCTCATTTCAGTCCAGAGTACGAGACCATAGCGACAGCGGACGCCGGGCCGCTAGGTCTAGGTCTGACTGTACATAATTATTTACACATTTACTTTTAGGTGGTTCTAACCCACACGACGAGAGCAACAGCTCTTTTATCTAAAAACAACAGTAGATCCGACATTGTGGGTTTGACAGTATGGTCTCTCTCGCAGTGATAGAGTTTGACTGTAAACGGATAAATTTTTCTACAAATAATATTAACTAGTAATTAGTCCCAGTATTCTGTGGGCTCGTTTAAATTTTTTAAAGCTGCTAAATTTTGTTTAACCTTAACAATTATATTTCTGTAATTACATGCAGTATCTCTATGAAATGGACTTGTATCTAACAAACTATTTATATGATTACTTACTAATAAGAACGGATTATTATATCTATTCTTCAAAAGAAGCAGCGCATCTTAGTATGAATCGTTGCAAAGAGGTAAATTGTCAATTGTAGAGAGTGGCTCGCCTCGTAGATATTTCTTCAGGTATATTAACTTTTGTATGTCACTGAGATTATGGTCTTTGTGGATGACAGCAGTGAATATCTCGATAAAAGGTATATACTCGGATGATCTGCCTAAAATAGATGCATTAATGGTTGCCCATTATTTATCAACAAATTGTGATTTCGTTGCCACCGAAATGCGAGGAATAAAAATGCAAAGGTAAGTTAACTTTTCTTGCTACTTAGAAAATAATTTATCTGTTTTAAAGTGTTCTGTTAAAAAAATACCCAAAATATGTATTGCAAGTATTGCAACTCAAATAGGCAGTAGTACCAAACCTTTTAAATTTTACGTTATAGAGAACAAATGTGTGTTACGAGTTTTATAGGTACGTATATAGATACGTATGTACATATATGAATATAAGTACCTCTTTTAGTAAATTTAACTAAACACATATTGATTTATTGCAAATGTAGTGGGTTAAACAGATGTACTAAACCTTTTTAAATTTTGATTTATCTTATTAATAGGCCGTTTTATTTATTTTTATTTGTTACTTATTCTAGGTCGGCAAGAAACAGCTTTGGTGATGATGTTATCGGTTACATACAAGTAAAAAGAGCAAGTGATGTTTGTACGGTCAAATGTAGAATCACGCGCGAATACCGCATATGTACCACACGTTATCGTTGCAATTTAGAATGTAATGACTAAGCGACTGTTGTACTATGACGTCACACCGTCACATGAGTCCGCATCGCACGTTTACTTCTATAAATCAGAAGCTAATTGACGTATTGAAGTAATTCTTTCACTTATATTTTTTATTTTTGACAGAGAATATGGAGAGCTAATATTCAAAATTAGTTAACATTCTTCATTGGGTTGTATAAATCAATGAGACTACGTTCTATCTGCCTACCCCGTAATAGATTTGAAAAAATATGTTGTAACCATACCACCCCAATCGCGCTTCGCTGTAGTATATACTAAGAAAGTTCGTAAACATTTGAATGTTTCTTACAGCAGTCCTTAGTAAGAAATTGCACCTTAGCACGGATTTGCATAAAGTGGGCGTAGGTACTAGTACTTTATACTAAATAAAGCAGACATAGTGGATGACAGCTAGCAAATAATACAGTAAATAGGTTATTCTTATAATTTATTGTTTAAAAAATTACCACATGCACAACATGTAATTTGAAATGACTAGATTAATTCAACAGCTGACTGGTTCCCTGAATGCCAGTCTTCATACCGGGAGGCTTTTGTTTCGGCAACCTGCAACAATTATCCAAGTACTATATAAGGTATGAACACAAAGGACCAACGAAATAACCTCTATTTACAATAACTATAATTGTGTCTGCTCAAAAAACAAAGTTTCTTAATATTTCGAAAATAACAAATATTAGGTTTTGTTGCAGAGTAGTTTTGAGTATTACTTCGAAATATTACTATGGAATACATGTACGTTACATCACAATAATGTTAATACATATTTAAAATACCTCTGTACGTAAGTTTCTTGACGATTTTGGAGGAGTTATAATATATCTCCTCTAAAATCCGCTGTACCCAGATTTGTAATAAATTTTGTGTATATATCTCAATGGATTTACATGGTTTATGATGGCAATTATTGCACGAAATCTAACCTGGTAGTTATTATTTTTCTTGGTGAAGACGGATGAACATATTCTCTTTGTTTCTCCCATTCGACATACTTTTGATAGTGGCGTTGCCGGCGTCTATCGACATAGCTTATCTGAAAGGAGTAAAACCACACATCAGACGCCGTTCAAGTGATTCACATTTGTCTAACCCTCAAGGTATTAACTCTAAAACGAATATATTAAGCATATGAAAACAACTTACAATACAACTGGCGGGTATCCAGACAAAGATAGTACCAAGCACCACAACGCCTACTATATTATCCCGAAGGAATCCCAAAACATTGTTTATATTTATGTCCTCAATTATATCCCAAAACCGCTCGACCACATCCTGAATGGTTTTCTCGCATACTCCCTAAAACATAGTAACTTACTCTATAGAAAAAAAATACGAATTAAATTTATCTTAAAATACACATTTTATATATTTTTTGACCAGTAGTTTAGAAATTAGTTATATATAATATTGTTCTCAGGCAAAAAAAAATGCAAATAAACGTAGACGCCTACATATGCTCTTTAAAAGTAACAGATATATCGATACAAAGATTGATAACTAACCAGTTAAAAAATTGAAAATAACAATAAAAGTATTTATTTACACACCTTATTACAAAATCCTTGAATACATGGCGTCCCATCGGGCAATATGTCATTGTGGGCCACTGGGAAACACGTCTTATTAAGGCTTTTACGGCAACACCGCTTGCATGCGTCAGCAACTAGTAGAAATGTGAAGAACTAGGTTAGTAAATATTTGGTACAATAAATTATCTTTACTTTGACAACAATATACTTTATGATATGCCTTTATTGTGTTTTTACTTTGTCATATCCGTCATGATTATGTCTGATATAGATTCCGCAACTGTATGATTTGGGAAGTTTGTACTTACTTATAAACTGGGTGTTACATTAATAAATCTATACATATAAACAAAATTGGAATGTCTGTTTGCAATATTGAAGTAATCGTTTTTTACTACATGCATATGATTATAAATACTGTATACACCAAATAACTTTTTTTTTTAATTTTTGTCTGTCTGTTTGTTCCGGCTAATCTCTGAAATCGCTGGACCGATTTTGACGGGACTTTTATTGGCAGGTAGATGTAATAAAGAATAACTTATGCTACTTTTATTTTAGAAAAATAAAGTGAAATTCCACGCGTACGAAGTCGCGGGTATAGCTAGTAAATAATAATATCTCAGGCTAATTCACACAGTGCTATCTAGTCTACCTTAAACTAACTTGTGTTATGGGTAGTAGACAAGTGATGAAAATATATAGACTTTGTTTTGTAAATAGAATCGTATTATACATAGAAAACACTCAGATCGATACAAACAATCATATTCATTATTACAAATGTCTGCACCGTTCTAGAAATCGAACCCGCGATCATAGAAATTAAGCCGGTGTACTAAAGCGCTAGACCACGGAGGGCGTCAAATGAATTAAGTTTAATAAACAATAAATTACCAATGTCGCACATGCAGCTGTGCATGCCCTGCGTCTCGCAGTACGGCATGCAGGTCCCGTTGCGGCAGCGGCCACGCTCCGCGCACTCGTGCTCGTCCGCGATGGCCGGCGCCTAACATCACACCATACACTTTATTGCGGGCTTTGGGCTATTGTCAGGTGCATAGACCTGTAGCACTGCGACCTCTATGTAGGTCATTGCTAGCAACGTACTATATATCAGGAAAACCTTCACGCGGTTCCCCCTAAAATTCGTTGTGATAAATTGCTAATGAATTTGGCACGAAGGGCTAATTGACATGACCTCATGCTCCACTGGTGCCGCGCTAGCATATACCGTCAGCGTAAGCGAGTGAACCATTAGTGTTTGTGTGTATGTGTACCTTGGGGCAGTCGGCGGAGGCTCCGTTGCAGGTGGCTTCGCCCTCGCAGGCCGAGTGCGCGGCCTCGCGGCACACCACCCCCGGCGGTGCGAACACGCACCCCGCACAGCACGGAGAATTCTTGTCGCTGCACACAACGATACATCACGCTCTCTATTACCGCACTAACTCAAACCATACTGGATTTACTATAATTATAATGTTTATTATATTTTGTGATTTCTACAGTCACAAAATATAACAACATATTTTAATAATTTCTTATTAATGTCAAGTCGCTGTTTTTCACATTAGGAATAAATGTAAATAAAAATATAACAAATTCACACGTTTTCAGACGACACCCAAACCAGGAAATTTTTACAAATATATGTGTATATGACTTACTAGATTGAATAAAAACAGTTCTTTATCTGATCAATGACAATAATAATACATCGGTGCATCTTTATAATTTTTTGTCTCTAGTCTAACGTTAAATATAACAATCTATCAACACAAACAAACCTGCAAACGGCTCCTTGACTTTTCCTTAACTTGCAGTTTTTATCACAGCACATGTCATTATCTTCTGTGCCTGTAATCAATTATGACACATTATACTACCACTTATTCCTTATACAAACCACATATTGCTTTTAAATTTAAAGTACATTGTCCAAAGATATGTAATATAAAGAATTCAAAATATTGTGTCGGCGACGGTATGTATTATTACAAATTTTTATTTGTAATATGCATAATTTTTTCCAGTTCTTACAGTATATAAAGGCCCAGTTTATGTGTAATTATACAGTCCATAACATCCATAAAATATCAAACATATTATGTTAATACTTGCCAAGTAATCCCGCGTCGCATTCTTCGCCGCCTTCAACGCGCAGGTTGCCGCAGAAACTTTCTTCAGGTTCGGAGAAGCAGCGGCCTGACTTGGCCTGCAGAACCTTCCTTATAGAGCGTAAACTGCATGGGGAGAAACGCTGTAATACAAATAAATATTTCGAAATATATGAAATCGAATAAGTTTTTCCAGGGACTTTCAACGGTTTTGTAACTATTACTACATTATCGATGTGTAATCAAAATACTCAGCTCATTGATTACACATCGATAATCTAGTAATACTAGTAGTAGTAGCTGACGAATATTATACTTCAGTGATGAATATACAAAACTATTTTTATTACTTTGTGAGATAAAGTTGTAAAGATGATGACGCGTCTGAGACTTTCAATTGACATCTAAAAAGGTTCTTAAATATATATTGCATATTATTTCATATCGACACCACTATTAAATAAATTATTTATTAGGGTTCGATTCCTCGCACGGTACAAACATTAGTATTCATGAATATGATTGTTTGTATCGGTCTGGGTGTTTTCTATGTATAATATGTATTTATTTTTTTAAAAAATGTATTCATGTATTTATATGAGTTTTGTTGTAGCTTGGGACTAGATGGCGCTGTGTGTATTGTCCTGAGATATTATATTATATTATACTATATCATATTATATTATAGAATAGAATAGAATAGAAAATCATTTATTCAAATAAACTTACATTGAAGCACTTTTGAATAGTCATTACATTTTTTAATCTACCGCTCGTTCGGAAAGCTGTCTCATCACAAGAAGAACGAGCAAGAAACTTGCGTGTTGCTCTTTTAAATAATTTTATTATTACTTTACATTTTTAAGTTTAAGTGTGTGAATACAAACCACCAATTAGCACTAATTCTATTAAATACTCAAATAGAAATAATATTGAATATATAACCAACTGGTTAAACAATTAATAAGAGGAAATCAGTCATAGTGATTAGAGCAGACCAGTCCCTACAAGCAGCACCCGTTCACGAGTATGACGGATGAGCCAGCCATCACTGCGCTCGACCATATTTTAGGGAGCCCAATGACCCGGCCCACCACGCCGCCACAAGTTTGGACATTTTAGTGAGCATGACTACTCAAAACACTAGACTACGTCAAAGCTACTTACAATTGCTATCTGATTGTTATAGTATTCACATTTTACATAAGAATGCATGCGGCAATCAATACAAAAACCGCTACGCTTTCATATTTCTAAAATCAATCAATTAAATCAAGAAAGCAATTATATTATATTACATTATATTATATTATATTATTCATATATTTATTTTTACGTTTATATACAAACAGAACTAAGGCTCAGATAGTCTACCTCTATTGGTGTTGCTATAAAACTCTATAAAGTTCATAATCGGGCAGATAACAAAATTAAATATTAATAAAATGATATTAGAGTAAGTTTACCTTGTTGTTGACATCGTAGCCGCTAACGCTATAGGTGTACATGAGATAGGAGCCGCCCTGGCTGGCGGCGGGCGAGCACTCCGCCACGTCCGGGTCGTGTTCGGAGCCCCAGTTGTGACCGAACTCGTGCGCCGTGACCAGATCCGCTTCACGGGTGATCACGCGTTGTCCATAATGATTGCGGGAAGAACTCAATCCAGAATTCAAGTATAATGTATAACCGTTCTTGAAATATTCTGAAACATTATAACTCATATTACATTTAAACTATTCTATGTTGCACGTGTAAGATTATTGTATATCGTCAAAAGCAATATTTACTGATGTTTTGATACAATGATACTTTGTATCATTGTTTAAGAATCATAATATTTTTTTAACAAACTTTCTTTTTGTGTTACCAGATTATTGTATATCGTCAAAAGTATAAAAATTAGTATTCGTATATCGCTAGTAAGTTGTGAATTGTTTTAACCAATATTTATCGAAATAACAGTGTACAAATAAGAGCGATACTGTTACTGATTATGTGTTATAACTCTTTTTTTAGCTGTACAGTTTTTAATATACACACTGATTATGTGTTATTCTTTTTTTTTATTAATATACACACTTAAATCCAAGATAAGATAATTTACTAAATATGCATGTTTTAGGTGACTTATCGTATCAACAGGGACAAAATCAAAGATTTAGTATTTAATTCCATATCGACCTTAAATGTGTACGATATAATACAATAAGAATTATAAAATTAAATAGACTGAGGGGATATCATATAAATTAATAACAAATAATAAGCAAAAATATACTGCATGTATGACATATGAAGTAACAAAAAAAGCCAAAACAAAAAGCAAGACACTCACACGATTGCACCAAAATAGCTGAAAACAAAATCACAAATAAAATTACAAGACGAAAATAATAACATACATTAAAGGCACAAACAAACAGGAGACAAGATATTTGACCAGAATAAAAAATAATAAGTGGGTATTTTTATTACAATACAAAGTAAAGAAAAATCTACAGTATGTCAGTTTGTACATCCGTTCGTTCTTACATTTATGATCCGAGGTTGCAACTGTTTCGAATTAAATTATTCATAATATCGACTAGAAGTGCAGGTATGGAAAAGATTCATTATGAGGTTTTTTTTATCAATAAGTACGAAATGGTACACCTGTCTGTGCTAAGGCTAACGGTATACAATGGCGGGACACTAATTTGTGAGGTGTTTAAGATATCCACTTTAGCCTTACTTATTTATCTGTTAAAGTACACCAAATTGCAAGTTTATGACAAATGAAATTTACACATAGAAACAGAAACAAATTAATGAACAAAAATATATGACACATAATGCGATAAACACTAATCTTAGATGCCTACAGTTTAATACGGAACTTTCGAAGTCGATTCTTAACGTCATTTTGCATAAATTGTAAGATTTATACAATTTATACAAAATAATAAACAACAAAATTTTTTAATATTGACATTAGTATGTATTACATATTATGTTTTTATTCAAAATATACTATATATATATTGCTTATTTCAATGAATATTTAATATATTTCTAGTCATCAATTTTACCAATTAAAATTTAACTACAATACTGTTACTATTTTAATATTAGTTTTATTTGTGACACGTGGAGGAACAGATATAGAAAGTCCGAGGTAATAAGACGAACTCTTATGCTTAAGGGAAGGTAGCTCATGGCATTAATGTTGATATACAACGCTTTTGACGCAATATCACTCTTGGATAGTATTGCTTCAACTTCATCGTCAATTAACATTCACTGAGCTTCAATATTCAATATACTATACATATACATAAACATAAAAAAATTGTATACACGTACCAGGCGTACATATTCCACCAACGGAATTACGCCGCGGCGAGCCGACATAAGCCAGGCCTAGAATACCGCCTTCGAATTTAAGATCCGTGAACAAGTGCGCTAAACAGAAGTCCTTGTGAGAGTACTCCCTGCTGAACACCTGTATGATCACAATCACATTAAGAAATTTTTCGTATGTAACTAGAATGGTAGATTTTGTACCACTTAAAACCAGGCAGACCGCCAGCCGTGCTTACCAATCCAGATACCCATAATAAATTAAAAATACAATACTAATAATACATAATAATAACCAATATAATAATAATAATAATAAGCTGGCCTATATACATAAACAGCTACTCGGACATCACGTCGTCATCTGACGACCGTGATCCCACACATACGTTGCCATTTGTGTGAATTAGGAATCATATCTCTATACCTTGTAATTTAATTGCCATTTCTCACCCTTTAAACTAAAACACACCGTACGTAAGTTAGTTTCAGTAAATGTATAAAGTAATAAATTATTTTTTATTTAGAAATGGAATAGATATCCTATTCCTTTTCTAATAATTATGAATGAAATAATTATGAAATTAGTTCTGAGCAATACGTAAATCGATGTAAACTCTTATTTGCTAAATAGAAATCATAGTTTCATACAATCAATACTGACCTCGAGTAAGTTCCGTACGTCCCATTTCTCACGAACCATGTTGTAATGCGCCTCCCCGCCGCGGACGCGTGTTGGCTCGGAGTGGACCAAAATCTTCTTTATTACGAATCCCATGCCTTTGAAACCATCCATATCCTGTAAAATAATTTATGACGATGAAAATATAAAATGTCTATTAAGGCCAAGATTATAGAAGAAAGATTATACAAGAAATAGAAGCGTGGTAATAAATACGAGAATATATGTAACATTGTTGTAACGGTTTAAACGTAATTTCAGAGAGTAAAATAGAATATTTTTACATCAGATCTCTCACATTGCGGGTAGACAGATTATTCCCGAAGTACAAGTAAATATGCAGTTATAGGCGAGGAAGGGCATATGGCGACTCTCAAGTATAGAAGTGCTCTGACAGCGTTTAGAGTAAGGTAAAACTAGAAAATAAATAATTATATAAATGCCAGATCCTTTGCGAGATGAGCAGTGTGAATATTCTTAAAAACACATCCACCATAAATAAACAAACATCACAGGTGGTTCATCATCAAAGGAAATAGAAGAGGAGTCAACTAAAAAATCAACATGTTACATATTAGTTTTGAGAATAAAGATAGGAACGATCGATAATATAAGATATACGAACCTGACGATCTTGCCAAACAGTATCATTGTATATTTTGTGGACACGATCTATAAGGCTAATCTGAAACATTACATGAATACACATTCGATAATACAAATATATGTATATGTATATTATTTATGTGCGTTATTTAGTAGGAATTGTCGCATTATATTTGTGGTAAAAACTTGTATAATAAGCTGAAATGGAAAACAAGTTTTAATACAGTCCATAAAGTTACATGTTTTTTTTAGTTACTTTCGAAGAAATCACCAATATTTATGTCATTTGGATCAATATGTCTAACATAACTAGATCTAACTCTATATACAACTTTAAAATATTCGCTAGTATTTATTGAGGTTTAATTCATATAAAATGTATATCTTAGTGAGGTTCTATGAGCATACTTACCAAATAACTAATTGTTGATTTAGTATTACTGCTTCCCATTTCCTGAAAAAATCTGTAGTCTGCCACAAGAAGCAGTGGACACCTGGTTTTAGTTGGAGTATATTCATAATCACTCTGTCTCTTTACCCGTTTAACTTCTGCCTGGGAGCCTGTATTATCTATGATTTGAGACTGATTTAAATACTTGTCCTTTTCAAACTGTTCTTGTTTCAACTCTAAACTGTCATTATCATCATCATCATCACCCTCTTCCAGTTCTATGTAAATAAAATAAATCCATTAGACCCATAATTACATTGTTATGAAGAATTTTTAGAAAATAACATTGGTATCTCTATAGTGATTTATTTATAATTACATGTAATATATACCTTTTCCCTCTTTAATATAGCCACAGACTTGAGATTTTTCATTATCACCCTTATTGGCCCAGCTGTAATTTACATCAGATGCTCTATAGGTAATCATTGTTTTATCTCCTAGATGTGGTAAGTGACGCCAGGAGGGCTGAAAAATATATACTACTGTTACAGAATAGAAACATTTTAAACTAACACCAATATATTTACTTTTAATAAGTTAAGTATTTTACTTATAAATTATGTTTAAAAATGACACTATAAAAGATTAAACATGAAACAATGTTATTAATATGTGGCTACATATTGAGCTATATATGACTCGGCTCCTGCATAGTGAATCTCTAAAATGAATTTATTTCTATGCCGCAACAATTTTTTTTAAATTAAATAAACATAATAAATACCCATACCCAATTTAATAATCTATTTTTTCCATAAAGATTCCCAAATGACCAATACAGTGAGCAAGATATGTATACATATAGCGCACTGTAAAACATACCTCTATGTGATATGTTTCATCAGCTGTATGAATAACTCCAGTAATCATACCTTCCTCCATATGTAATTTAACATCTGATGATTTCTCACCAAACACTCTACCAGTGTAAAAATTATCTCTATCTGTAAATTTAAATATAGTCATAATTAATTAAAAAGAAATACATAAAATAGAAAATAAAAAATTGGATTGTCTTAAGTTACCACATGTAATAATAATAATAATAAATCTGGAAAATTCTCACAGTGCCAATCTACATAGCAATAGACAGGAACAGCTAGGGCACATTAATTATATACTTTTGTTTTAATGATAGGCAACAAATGTGCCCAAAAATACAGCTGGATAACTAAACAGAGACATACCATATTTTTTTGTAAATAATAGTAATGTAATTAATATAGGAAAACCACTTAACCAATGCAAATATACACATAGTTTGTTCAGGTGATAATATTTTGAAGGCTTATTCATTTCTGATAACAAACTTCTCAATATGAGCTTAGTTTTTTACTTTATCCTTGACTTACTGAAGACCATGATCTCTTTGATGTTATGTGTGAACCATGTTAGATAGTTATTTGTGTGACATGGAGGTGAACCTCATGGGGTACATTGCTAACAATTGGACCATCAATGCCTATTCCTAATAATCCTCCAGTAAGGACTGTATAAACAATATTAAAGAAAAATCTTACCAACATGAATTGTACTTTCTTTACCATCACGATCAACTTCATATGCCTTAAAATTTGAATGCAACACAGTGGTATGTGGGTGTAAAATGAGCCTGAACTGTTTCCCAAGAGTTTTGAATTGTAACTCCTTAATAATATTAAATGGATGATTGGACATTTTGGCACCTCGCTTTACTACATTATGTACAAAACTTGAAGCATGTAATGTCTCAAAATGTTTGAAATTTGTATAGAGTGAACCTAAAAAGTTTTAAATAATTATTAATTAGTACAAAGATCTATTACAGAAAGTTACAGTCTACTTGCAATGACTACATTTATTTACAAAATGTTTAAAGCACTGAAAATTAATAGTACTTACAGTCACTGTAATTGCACCAAAATAATATGAAAAAGAAACCTAACACTAAGCTATTTTTTACACCCATTATACTTAATTTATAGTATTTCTCCATTTATTTCAGAAGCTAATAAAATAATTTACTTCATTAACAAATATTATTTATTTAAAGAAAGACAAGAAACGTTATTTAATATGATTTTAATACAAATATTTTAGATTACAAATTAATTTATTTTGTATAGAAGCGACAGAAAGCTTTCCATATTCAATTTTATGATGTATTTATAAATATGGATAAAAAGACGAATAAACAATTAGTTTTAAATTATTAAATGTTGGTATTTTCCTTACTGAATTTAGTATTTAAACAATACAGTTCAATTTGACTTTAATTAACAAAAGGAATACAAACATTTTGAAAAAAGCAAATGACAACAATAATAATGACGTTCAATTTTATGTCTTTGGTAATTCTTTTTTACTAAGTAGTTTTACGGCTTTGGAAAGTCCCTTTCAGCCAAACAATTACATTATGCACAATGCACGAACAAGTTAGCTATTAATTACTAGGTGTACTATGTTTTTGTGAACAAAACTTTTTGTTTACTCATTTCTTTGTTTCAATTTTCATGCTATAACACTTTTTTACTAAATATTAAAGTCGATTTTTCTTTGTCGACCTAGCATCCCTCAAATTATTTATATTCTAATTTTACGATTCTTTTATTTATCTTGGAAAACATCACCAATAAATTAATATTTAGTACTAGCTGTGTCCGAGACTTCGTCCTCGTATAATAGTGATCTTGATCAAATAAAGATAAAGTATTTAATAATCTGCTATAACCCAAAGAAAAACGTTTCACCGTTGTAGCTTAAAAAATGACGATTTTCCATACAAATTTTCTTCCCCTATTTTGTTTTACCCTTTAAGAGTAACATTTTAATTTACAAACTGAATGTCATATTTATTTTGTTATTTTTAAACTTTTGTGTTTAATATACATCATCATATGCTTCATCATTATCTCATTTATTTGGGGTCGGCGTAATATGTTTTTCGCTTCCATTCATCACTGTTTGCAGTCATCGCGTTATTTACTTCCTTTCTTACCATATCATCTTTCACACAGTCCATCCATCTCTTTTTCGGCCTTCCTCTGCCCTTATAACCATCCACATTCATATGTAACACCTTTCTTAAAATATTATCCTCGTTCCTACGCATTACATGTCCATACCATGATAGACGATTACTCTTCAACCTCTCTGACACCGGTGCCATTTTCATACTTCCTCTAATGTATTCATTCTTTATCTTATCCATTCTTGTCACACCACACATCCACCTCAACATTCTCATTTCAGTGCATGCAGTCGTCTTTCATCCGTCGCCTTTACGGGCCAGCACTCTGATCCATACAAGACAGCAGGCTGGACCATGGTCTTGTAAATTTTCCCCTTAAGCTTAAGGGGAACACGCGAGTCACACGTCGTTACCGTAACCTGCCGCCACTTCGTCCATCCTGCCTTAATTCTATGCTATATGGTCCTGTCTAACTCACCATTGCTTTGGAGGAGAGAACCTAGATACCGGAAATCGGAGCAGATCGGTAATGGAGCTCCATTTAGTGATATGGCTGCAGAGCCGGAAAGACCGCCAAAATCACAAAACATGTATTCCGTTTTGTAAACACTAATTTTTATTTATTTACATCGTACTAAGTGAGCTTAACAGTCTCCCAATATGCCCACTTAGGAAGATAATATACAAATACATACCAATTATAAACAGTAATTACACAAGAAAAACAAAAGAGAAAAAAAAAAACAATAATAATACCTAATCTCCATTTAACATACTACCTAAATAATCCACTGCCATCCTACGAAACTCCAGCAAATTACAAGTAAATATGTCTAGATCTGGAAAGCGACTAACTACACCGTTGAGTAGACTCAATGCCAGAGAAATAGGAGCCTGTTTGGCCAGCTCTGTTCTTCTCCATGGAACATGAAACAAGTTTCGTCTTCTTGCTTGTACGTAGTTATTGGGCGCTCTTATGGACACCGATGTTAATACCGCTTGGTTACATTTTTCACCTCTCATGACTTTGACTACATATTCCATTAATGCAATCTTCCGTCTTACTTCGAGTGTGTCATATCCCACCATCCCCAACAAAAACATAGTAGGATATATATTAGGGTATGTGACTCTATAACCGTACTGTCTTTAATATACATATCGTATAAACTTTTTTTGGAATTTCTCCACCATGAGTATATATTTTGACTCATGTGGGTTCCAGATAATTGCGTTACTTTCTAGTTTACTGCGTACGAAGACATTATATAGTATTTTAATACTAAGTATGTTGTCTAACTGGTGTGCCTGTCGCAATACAAATCCAAGGGTCCTGAACGCCTGAGTGTAGTTAGTAGTAGAGTTAGAGGTATACTAATTTAATGGCAAATATAGGTAAGGAATACCTTTATTTGCCATAAAATTAATCGTGTTAAAACCCGGTTAATAATATAAATGATCATATTTATTTGTACTTAATCAACAGAGTGTCAAGCTTGTAGCTTAAAAGGACAATATTTCCATAGAAACATTTATCTCCCCTTTCAATTGCTTACAAACATTTTTTTCAGTAGTTTCGGCGTGAAACCGAGACAGAAAATCAGACAGTTACTTTCGCAATTATAATATTACCACAGAAAACATAATATTACATATACTAAGGATAAGGATTAGAATGGATGTTTGATAAGTGTATAGAATCTATTGGGCAGTACAGCAAACCCAATATATATATAATAATAGATATTGAATTATAATTAGGTTCGTAGATAAGGCATCAATAAAAGAGGAAAGTAAAATATTATAATAAAATAAAAAAAAAAAAAATAAAAAATTATATCACAATTATATATTTCACGATGATGTCTAAATTTACAGTCCTTATTTTCTATTGTTCTAACGATGACAAGGAATGTACAATTTTCAAATTTGTATTTTCTTTATATAAACTAAAGGGTTATTAACAGAATCAGTAGTTTTGAAAATAGGGACTAACACATATTTTCTTCACAATGCAGATATTTAGGTATACCGATTGGGAAAATCTAAATCTTTAATAGAACTAATCCTCAAATATCTAAGATATTTAAGATTAGTTGTGCAGAAATTTCACAAAAATCGTTTCAGTACTTTAGTTTTGAAATCAGCATAATATATAAATGAGTATTCGAATTAGTTTTTTCAAATGCAAAGATAAAAGTATAATCTTTAAACGCATTTATTACGAATCTTCAAGAGTTTGAAAGTCAATTAATGAGAACAGTAGAAAATATAAGTGTAACAGTACTACAGTAGTCTTTATTGGAAATCAGTATATGTATTTTCTTTATTATTATATATTAACAGCCTCGGTGGCATAGCAGTTTACCACACCGCCTTTTAATGGTTTTCGATATTTGTACTCATGAGTACCTACCGATTGTTTATATGGATCTGGGTGTATTATATGTATTTAAATAAACAATATACCTATTTAAGTATTTCTGTCAGTTGCCTAGTAACAAAGCAAGCGATTACGACGCAGTCTGGGTATTATTAATAAATTAACGATATCCGTTTCTAGTATTTATGCAAAGATCGTGGCTATTGATTATATTCCATTAGCTGTACTACATAATATATATTGAATTTATTTCATGAATACAAAAATTTGCATATTTCCAGCTTGTTTCCTATTATTCTATTCTATCATTACATAGTATGTATAGTGTGCTACTAAGAAGTCGCTGTGCCTATCCCTATGTATACATACTTAAATCTTTAATGATGATTTTTTAGAGTAATTCCAGAGGAAGGTTTTTATGTATATATAATACATTATACCTGGGCGAAGCCAGGGCGAGTAACTAGTATAGAATAAAATCCATGGTGGCGTATTCTTGTAAATAATGTATACAAAAAATGCATCTATGTATTAATATCAGTTGTCCAGCACCCTTAACACAAGCTCTGCTTATTGGTTTGTATATATAATACATTATACCTGGACGAAGCCAGGGCGAGTAACTAGTATAGAATAAATTCCATGGTGGCATATTCTTGTAAATAATGTATACAAAAAAATGTATCTATGTATTAATATCAGTTGTCCAACACCCTTAACACAAGCTCTGCTTATTAGTTTGTATATATAATACATTATACCTGGGCGAAGCCAGGGCGAGTAACTAGTATAGAATAAATTCCATGGTGGCATATTCTTGTAAATAATGTATCCAAAAAATGCATCTATGTATTAATATCAGTTGTCCAGCACCCTTAACACAAGCTCTGCTTGTTAGTTTGGTATTATATGGCTCTGTGTGTATTGTCATGATATGAATTTAGCAAAGCCCAATTTTAGAACGGTTACGCCGATAGTACTATATGCAGATTCAATAAAATATTTAGATAAGGACTGTAAAACACAACAACAATTAAAGTAATGAGTAATTTCTTTATTTTTCTTAATAAACTCTATTCATGTAATGAACCTAAGGAAACGAAACATACTTAATTTCCACCTCTCAGTCTCAACACAAGATGTAAAGTAGATTCTTTCTGAATATTGTAATCAGAAAGCGTACGGCCGTCTTCCAATTGCTTGCCGGCGAAAATAAGTCGTTGTTGATCTGGAGGAATACCTTCTTTGTCTTGAATTTTAGCCTTAACATTTTCGATGGTGTCTGAGGGTTCAACTTCTAAAGTAATTGTCTTACCAGTCAATGTCTTGACAAAAATTTGCATACCACCACGAAGTCGCAATACTAAATGTAATGTCGATTCTTTTTGTATGTTATAATCAGAGAGTGTGCGACCATCTTCTAACTGTTTTCCGGCAAAGATAAGACGTTGCTGGTCAGGTGGAATGCCTTCCTTATCTTGAATTTTAGCTTTCACGTTCTCAATAGTGTCAGAAGGCTCAACCTCCAAAGTGATTGTTTTACCTGTCAATGTTTTTACGAAAATTTGCATACCACCACGAAGTCGTAAAACAAGATGTAGTGTGGATTCCTTCTGAATATTGTAATCTGAGAGTGTGCGACCATCTTCCAATTGCTTACCAGCAAAGATCAATCTCTGTTGGTCTGGGGGAATACCCTCTTTATCTTGGATTTTAGCTTTAACATTCTCAATGGTGTCAGAAGGTTCAACTTCTAAAGTGATTGTTTTACCTGTCAATGTTTTTACGAAAATTTGCATACCACCTCGAAGACGTAAAACAAGATGTAGTGTGGATTCCTTCTGGATATTGTAATCTGAGAGTGTGCGACCATCTTCTAACTGCTTACCAGCAAAGATCAATCTCTGTTGGTCTGGAGGAATACCTTCTTTATCTTGAATTTTGGCTTTAACATTCTCAATGGTGTCTGAAGCTTCAACCTCCAAAGTGATTGTTTTACCTGTCAATGTCTTTACAAAAATTTGCATACCACCTCGGAGACGTAAAACAAGATGTAGTGTGGATTCCTTCTGGATATTGTAATCTGAGAGTGTGCGACCATCTTCCAACTGCTTACCAGCAAAGATCAATCTTTGTTGGTCTGGAGGAATACCTTCTTTATCTTGAATTTTGGCTTTAACATTCTCAATGGTGTCTGAAGCTTCAACCTCCAAAGTGATTGTTTTACCTGTCAATGTCTTTACGAAAATTTGCATACCACCTCGGAGACGTAAAACAAGATGTAGTGTGGATTCCTTCTGGATATTGTAATCTGACAGTGTGCGACCATCTTCCAATTGCTTACCAGCAAAGATCAATCTCTGTTGGTCTGGAGGAATACCTTCTTTATCTTGAATTTTGGCTTTAACATTCTCAATGGTGTCTGAAGCTTCAACTTCCAAAGTGATTGTTTTACCTGTCAATGTCTTGACAAAAATCTGCATACCACCTCGGAGACGTAGAACAAGATGTAGTGTGGATTCCTTCTGGATATTGTAATCTGAGAGTGTGCGACCATCTTCTAACTGCTTACCAGCAAAGATCAATCTCTGTTGGTCTGGGGGAATACCTTCTTTATCTTGAATTTTGGCTTTAACATTCTCAATGGTGTCTGAAGCTTCAACCTCCAAAGTGATTGTTTTACCTGTCAATGTCTTTACGAAAATTTGCATACCACCTCGGAGACGTAAAACAAGATGTAGTGTGGATTCCTTCTGGATATTGTAATCTGACAGTGTGCGACCATCTTCCAATTGCTTACCAGCAAAGATCAATCTCTGTTGGTCTGGAGGAATACCTTCTTTATCTTGAATTTTGGCTTTAACATTCTCAATGGTGTCTGAAGCTTCAACCTCCAAAGTGATTGTTTTACCTGTCAATGTCTTTACGAAAATTTGCATACCACCTCGGAGACGTAGAACAAGATGTAGTGTGGATTCCTTCTGGATATTGTAATCTGAGAGTGTGCGACCATCTTCCAACTGCTTACCAGCAAAGATCAATCTCTGTTGGTCTGGGGGAATACCTTCTTTATCCTGGATTTTAGCTTTAACATTCTCAATGGTGTCAGAAGGTTCAACTTCTAAAGTAATAGTTTTACCAGTCAATGTCTTGACAAAAATCTGCATACCACCTCGGAGACGTAGAACAAGATGTAGTGTGGATTCCTTCTGGATATTGTAATCTGAGAGTGTGCGACCATCTTCCAACTGCTTACCAGCAAAGATCAATCTCTGTTGGTCTGGGGGAATACCTTCTTTATCTTGAATTTTGGCTTTAACATTCTCAATGGTGTCTGAAGCTTCAACCTCCAAAGTGATTGTTTTACCTGTCAATGTCTTTACGAAAATTTGCATTCCACCTCGGAGACGTAAAACAAGATGTAGTGTGGATTCCTTCTGGATATTGTAATCTGACAGTGTGCGACCATCTTCCAATTGCTTACCAGCAAAGATCAATCTCTGTTGGTCTGGGGGAATACCTTCTTTATCTTGAATTTTGGCTTTAACATTCTCAATGGTGTCTGAAGCTTCAACCTCCAAAGTGATTGTTTTACCTGTCAATGTCTTTACGAATATTTGCATACCACCTCGGAGACGTAACACAAGATGTAGTGTGGATTCCTTCTGGATATTGTAATCTGAGAGTGTGCGACCATCTTCCAACTGCTTACCAGCAAAGATCAATCTCTGTTGGTCTGGGGGAATACCTTCTTTATCTTGAATTTTGGCTTTAACATTCTCAATGGTGTCTGAAGCTTCAACCTCCAAAGTGATTGTTTTACCTGTCAATGTCTTTACAAAAATTTGCATACCACCTCGGAGACGTAAAACAAGATGTAGTGTGGATTCCTTCTGGATATTGTAATCTGAGAGTGTGCGACCATCTTCCAACTGCTTACCAGCAAAGATCAATCTCTGTTGGTCTGGAGGAATACCTTCTTTATCTTGAATTTTGGCTTTAACATTCTCAATGGTGTCTGAAGCTTCAACCTCCAAAGTGATTGTTTTACCTGTCAATGTCTTTACAAAAATTTGCATACCACCTCGGAGACGTAAAACAAGATGTAGTGTGGATTCCTTCTGGATATTGTAATCTGAGAGTGTGCGACCATCTTCCAACTGCTTACCAGCAAAGATCAATCTCTGTTGGTCTGGGGGAATACCTTCTTTATCCTGGATTTTAGCTTTAACATTCTCAATGGTGTCAGAAGGTTCAACTTCTAAAGTAATAGTTTTACCAGTCAATGTCTTGACAAAAATCTGCATACCACCTCGGAGACGTAGAACAAGATGTAGTGTGGATTCCTTCTGGATATTGTAATCTGAGAGTGTGCGACCATCTTCCAACTGCTTACCAGCAAAGATCAATCTCTGTTGGTCTGGGGGAATACCTTCTTTATCTTGAATTTTGGCTTTAACATTCTCAATGGTGTCTGAAGCTTCAACCTCCAAAGTGATTGTTTTACCTGTCAATGTCTTTACGAAAATTTGCATTCCACCTCGGAGACGTAAAACAAGATGTAGTGTGGATTCCTTCTGGATATTGTAATCTGACAGTGTGCGACCATCTTCCAATTGCTTACCAGCAAAGATCAATCTCTGTTGGTCTGGGGGAATACCTTCTTTATCTTGAATTTTGGCTTTAACATTCTCAATGGTGTCTGAAGCTTCAACCTCCAAAGTGATTGTTTTACCTGTCAATGTCTTTACGAATATTTGCATACCACCTCGGAGACGTAACACAAGATGTAGTGTGGATTCCTTCTGGATATTGTAATCTGAGAGTGTGCGACCATCTTCCAACTGCTTACCAGCAAAGATCAATCTCTGTTGGTCTGGAGGAATACCTTCTTTATCTTGAATTTTGGCTTTAACATTCTCAATGGTGTCTGAAGCTTCAACCTCCAAAGTGATTGTTTTACCTGTCAATGTCTTTACAAAAATTTGCATACCACCTCGGAGACGTAAAACAAGATGTAGTGTGGATTCCTTCTGGATATTGTAATCTGAGAGTGTGCGACCATCTTCCAACTGCTTACCAGCAAAGATCAATCTCTGTTGGTCTGGGGGAATACCTTCTTTATCCTGGATTTTAGCTTTAACATTCTCAATAGTATCAGAAGGTTCCACTTCCAAAGTAATAGTCTTCCCAGTTAAAGTCTTCACAAAGATCTGCATTTTGATCTGAAAAAGAAAAACCATTCAGTATAAAATCAATGCATTAACACTACATTGAATACAATTTATGTCAAAATGCCATAGGTATACATTATTTTTGTGCTTAATGCACAGTTAAATAAATAATTTACATTAATAACATTGTCTTTATCAATGGATGTTCTGTGTATTATTCACAACTTTTAAAAACACTTAAATATTTTCAATACAGATTTTTAATGTATTGAAAATATTTAGGTGAATAAGTAAATTTAAGCAAAGTAAAATTGAAATATGATGGTAATACAGTTATTTTGCAAATAAAAATGTAAGTATAAAAATAGTGGCACAGAACTACCTGTAATAAATAAGAAAAGAAAAATAATAAAAAAAAGACAAGAACAAGTTTGGGAGTGAGTTGTTATCATGGGAAAAAGTATCCGTAAAAATGCACAATATTAAATCAACAAAACATCATATATAGCGCTTGAAAACCATTCCAATTCACTATGATTGATATGAATGAACAAACTGTACTTCAGGCTCATATTCTAATGGTGACCCGCCAGCGTATACTACCACTAGCGCAATGCATCATCCGTTATGACCCATTAAATATAAAAGACTCATCAGTGAGACGTGGCGGACAGCAACAACATTGTTGAAATTATAAAAGAAGGTCACTTCCATGGTTTTTTTCCTTGTGTAACAATATTTCACGACATAATCGCTATACTTTTCTAACAGATTTTGACACCTTTTACAAGCAGTTAGTTTGGTTTAAATTAATATAATCAATTTTGAAATATTTGTTAGTATCATACATAATTATGAATGAACTAGATAAAATCAAAACAAAATGGCGTCCATTGAATTTGCGACGCAACTCCATTTTAGAATAGATCCACAATTCTATTGATAGTAATTCATTTCATCATTTGACTAAAATAAATAGACTTTGGTTTACGTAAGATTATTGAAAGTATAAGGTATACTTCATAAAATTTGCGAAATATGTATTGTTCTAGAAAAATGTAAGAAAACTATCATATCTTATCTTGTGACTATTATATTACAGTAAATAATACTCACCAATTTTTATCCACTAGAATTTTGATAAATCTGTGTACGGGTAATAATTTTCTTTGTTTTAATAATCGTATTCTCTCAGCAGCTCTGAAGCGTTCACAAGTATTGTAAGCGTAATTTTTTTAACAATAAAACGGTTCTACCTTGCGTGCTTCCCTTTTTATAGACGCGGATACTGCGGAATTGCGATCAATGCTTTGTATCAAACGGATGATGCCGATCATTACCGAACATAGTTTGTCTTTGTCTAATTTAGTAGTAAAGAAAAAGATAGAATATTTAGTCGATTCTGGAACACAACGTGCCGAATAACATATGCGTCATAAGTTTATGACTCCTGCTTTGTGACGTTTCTCTTATCCTGAAATCTCGTGTAATTGAAGCGCAATCCATCATTATCTTTTCTTTAAAAGAAAATTACAAAGAGTATAGAAATTTGATTACAGTAATAAAATCATCCGACATTAAATTTTTATATAGATTAGGGATAAAAAATATCAAATGTGAAAATAGATAGTTTTGAAAGCCATCATTCGATTTTGGTTGATTAAATCGATGCGATGGTCGATATAATTTAAAAATAGAATGCCACGTGTATGTCTACCATTTCGTATGTTTTCTACTACGATTTATTCTATCAACAATATATAAACCAACAATACAATGTATGTGTAGCTGTTATGTTTAGTTATTAGAAACATGTTGTATTATTTAGTTAGTAATGATTATTGTTAGAATTACGTGTTTTATAATCTGGTCAATAAGTTATGAAAAAAATAAAATAGTTTAAATAAACTATATTGTTTATAAATTAGTTTATCACAACATCTATAGAGCACATAATAAGTTTATAAGAATATTATATATAAATGCTACTACAGCCCTACTATCGATCTCAATATAATACTGACATATCGATATTACTGACGAATTATCGATACTGATTTATGTCGTAAAATATCTGTTGGCCCATTCTGGGGTAATTGAATTTATATAGAATGGAAAGAAAAGAAACACATTTTTTCTATACAAATAGGAGTATTGCGTAATACTTATTACAAATCGGTTTTATGAGTAGTTACGTCTACGACAACAAATTAGTTGGTTTGTGAACTATTCAAGACTTCTAGTCCACTAATCAGAAACTCAAATCGGCTCTCTTATCCTCAATAGTCTCATGGTTATTGCTAATCATCTGATTACATATCTATATATGATTGTATATATCAATATTGATAGCTAAATTGTATTTAAATAATTAATGAATATAATGTAATGCTTAATAAATCTACACATCTGTATTGAAGACATATTATAAATTTTATAAAATCTAAATTGGTAAAATGTGTATTTCATATTTATACTTCTTATGACAACTTCACGAAAATAAAATGCAATCATATTTAACATTTTTATTTCTTACTTAAAATTACTAAATAACTGATCAACAATTTTACATTAAATTCTTTTTTAAGTTTTTTGACTCATAGCTTCCCAAGGTCTAGGACCACGCTTATTTTCCCAGTTATCTATATCCAGCTTCTGTATTTCTTCAAATGTATCTTCCAATGTTACATTTTTTTCTCTATGAAGTCCCATTTTTTCAGCTTCTTCTTTGCTGACACCTTTTACTTGTGAAAATTGATATCTGTTAAAAATTAAAGAAGTTCAATCTAGAACTACATACATTGTTATGCCATGCTACAACTATAAAGGTATCATTTCAAAACCAGATATTATTAATGAGGTACATACAAAAATAAACCCAACTACCTCTTCAGATTTACTGAAATAAATTATTAAATAAATACAATAAATTATTACATAAGACAATGAAGACTACTAAAATGTTTGATTTTTAGGTTTTTTCTCTATTTACTATATACCAGTAGTCATAACTTATTTCTTGAGTTACTGATAGGCTGTAGCCTTTAAATGTAGAAAGTTTACTAGCAGATTTTTTTAAATTTAGGCATGGGCATCAATCTGGAATTTATATTAGATCCATAATCTTCTCTTATATAAAAAAGATACTAATTTTATGGGGTCTACCGAGTTTTCAGGGAGTGAATGTATTACTATAGGAATTTGCATTGCCTTTATTATTCTTATTTTAATTAGAATAATAACAAAGGTAACAAAAACAACAAAACACTTGGTTGTGAACTTAAAAATAAGTTTAATTTATAACCTGATTTGTGTCCACTCTCTTAAACCGAATGAACCCCCCAGCACAAATAGTAAAAAAGGTAAACCATATTTAATAGACTTCCTTTTGCTCAAGGTAGTTGCTGAATTTCGTAATGTTTCTATAAATGTATACATTTTATTACATTATTTATTATTATATTACAATCAAGGAACATAATACTCTAAAGAGATTACAAATATCCAGAAAATGATAATCATAGATCAAAGAATTTTTTTTTTTGCATTCCCAGGAAAGGCAAAGGCACCCGGCTCATACATCCATTGTCTTTGACACTACTAAAGTACGTACTACGTACTTAAATAATTATTTTGTATGTTTTACAATAAATTCTGTATGGAGCGCGGGATCTCCGTGTGAACTAAAAAATAAAGCTAAAAGAAATTGCAATTTCTATTATATTTATTTTCCCATAATGATTTTATATCAGTCTTTTTTCTATCCCGATTTTCTTGATCAAGACAGAATTTGGGTAGGAATAGCCATATCCAAACTCTGTTATTCATTTCCCAAACCTATTTTTAGAATATGTACTTCGTCCCGTACCGTACCCGTAGTGTACCAAGTCGTATAATAATAATATTAAAAAAGTGTACATATCGTATATTGACCTATTTCCTATATGTATAAATCTCGTAAATGTATGATGATTGTCATACGGTTGACATGTCTGCACAACACTGTAAATAATACAAAATAACTGTATATTATTGTGGACAGTGTGTATATGGAGCTTTAAATATTTGAATAAAGTGTGGCTCAAGACAAGCCACACTCTTTTCAATATTAAAATTTACTTCGTGTGTGTATCATTCACATAATTCACATTCGTAATACCATACAGTCTTATTACAAACATCGTTCTAAAATTACATTTATTTTTTTATATCGATCTATCAGACGACAAAACAACTGAAATAAAGATTAGAAGTGTCAACCCTGATTTCGAGACCCTGCAAATATTGTAATCTTGCACAGCCTCCCATGAGAAAGCAACCCATAACAAATAAACTAAGTTAAACTATGTAGTGAATTTGAAAGAAAAAGTTTCATAAAAATAAGATGGATCCGACCGAATTTGTTTTAGTTGGCAACTCTATAAAAAAGTAAAGAAATTTATAAAATGGCGGATCTATATGTGACGTATGTGTTGTGTCTAGTATGTTATGAATGAATTAATTCTTTTATTATAGTGCTAACATTATGAATTGAAGACTTTATATTATATTATCACATTAACTTCAATTTTCTACGTTTGGTAAGTTATTTTTCTTTTGACTCATGCTTGTTTTAATATATTATGACTAATAACTTTGTCACGGTCTAGTGGTGTACTGAGGTAGATTGTAGGCGGGATTTAAGGCCCCTTTTTGTAAATTATTCATCCAATTCAAATGTCATATCATAAATAAAATACCCATTGATTAGAATGTAAATGTCTCCATAAACTACAATAGGTTATTTGTGCAATATGTTTAATTGTTATTTAGCGATGCATACATTATTATAGGTATAAAGACAAATTTATTTAATACACATTACTCGTGGCGATTCTAATCAGGTAAATTCAAAATAAATAATCAACACTGATTCTTGTTGTTGTTAAAACAGGCTGCCTGTGGTGCTGTAACACAAGTTAATAATAGAATTTTTAAGTTAGACTCATTAAGGAGGTTTTACACTTCAAAATTGATAATAGTCGATTTTGAAGTATTATTCTTAAAATTTACCTCTATTTTTACTTGTAATTAAATTTCTATATACTATTATTCCGAAAATCTATTTGCTTCTAGTCTCCATTGCTGTGTCTACTGCATTTTAAACCATTTTCAGTGTTCTAACAAATATATAAATATTGAAATCTTTTAACAGTTATTAAATTAATGTAAAAAATAGTAATATATTAAATGTGATCATGAAAAGAATGAACTATGAAATAAAGCAATGTAGATTTTTATTTATATTATTAAGTGATTAGTGAATTGCAATGATATATAAATTAAGTAATCTATACTCAATTTTTGTTAATAATGTAAACAATGAGGACACTCACTATTCCTACCATAGATATACTAGTGATGCCGATAGCTGTATGAATAAAATATCAAGAATTGTATTGAATATTTTGATTAATATATTGAATGTGTTGATTTGTTTCACAAAATTAATTATTCATAATTACAAATATGTGTATAGTCTGACGGAAAACAATCTAAGTTTCACAAATGATGATTTGAAATTTTGTCACATATAATAAAATAAAAACTTATAAAATCACTTATTTAATAATAATGTAGATATTAATGAAATAATATACATAACTATAACATTATTCTAAAATCTCTATTCTTAAGATTTTAACAAATGAATACTGTTACCAAAAGTGGTGATATATAGAGTTAAAATCCTCAAGGCTCATCAAAAGAATAATGTAGCTTATTTTATTTGCTTATGTAAATATTTTTAAGATAAAATGTTTCGTTACATTTTCTGTAAAGAAAAACAAAAACTTTATACCTCTTATGCAGACAAAGTATTATGAAATAAGGCAAATTTTGAATACATATTATAGAGCATGACATTCGTTACTTTCTAACTTAACAGTTATTAACATAGGAATAAGATCTTGAAGATAATACAGTGTCAACAAGGAACTTTTACTATGGGAACCAAACAACTGATAGTCAATATAAACAATTCTTACTCATAAATATAAATACTTCTAGAGTAGGTATGAGAATTGAACATGCAACCATAGGAAGTGTGTTGAAACACCCAAATGAGCACTTATATAATGCGAACTTAAATATGAGTAAAACCAGTGATAGTAGTAAACTACAAAGTTTTAATAATGGGTACAAATATTTTAAGTTATATAATATCTAAAATAATAAGATGAACACTGGTTGTCACTCATTACTTTATTACGGTGTTGGGAGGGGATTGTTAACAACATACATAAATAGTCATACACAATGTACATAAATAATAATCGAAAGTCTTTTTAATGAACATTTAATTATCCAATATGGATTAAAATATTATTGTTTCTTAATTGTTGTAATCGTAATAAATAAACAAATTAATGAGTCGATTTTAATGTTTTATCAATTGGAATACCGATATTGATGGTCACAGACGAGACGAGGATCCATCATGCAATGCACCGAACGCAACACGATCTGCATGGTATGTTAGGCTGAAGGGGCAAGGCGACGACACACTCGGTCACGGGGCAATGCGGCGCGAACACTACCGTACACCGGATTACTCTCACGCTCCAGTTGTCACAAATATCACTAATTGTATTGCATTTTGCCACTGCACGGATGTGGAATTAGCGAGTATTGTGGATACATATATTCTTCGATACGCCAACTGACGGCCATTCACCCCGATTTTTCCAAGGTGCCAGGTATGACAATCACTCCCCAGCCATATGGATTACATCTCTATGGTTATATATACCTGGTGCCATAAATCACAATACGTGTACCATAAAGTTTAAAATGACTGAATATGTATTGAATTCAAATGTATGGTATCCACTATCCAGGAATTGGAACGCTATGACAACAAAAAAATATTTTTATACCCGCCATTACGTTAGCAACAATTTTACTGTCTGTTTCTAATTCTTGTTCGTTCTCATGTTCGTGGCGTTCTATCCCTACAGTGTGAAGCGCACAGAAATGATTTAGAAGCACGTCGTGAAGTAAGGCCACGATGTGGTAAGTGTCCTAATTTCGTACTCATCTGGTCACCGTTAGTATATCATTAGCGCAAAGGAGATTATCACTCCATCATAGGTGGCTTGTGTATGCAACATTTCCTGCATGCGGAATGGATCGGTGTCGGGTTGCCGTAACCCGAGAACGAGAACTCTACAGGAAATTAATACTCAATTGCTTGCTTAGTCTTTTTATATTATTATTTTTATTACTATACGAATATATTTAAAAAATACGGGTGTAGGGCGCTCATTCCAATATATAAACATATAAAAGTTTGAATACAAATTTTAGGTAATCCAAAAACTAATTGTAGCTAATAACCACATTGATCACGGCCTCTTTCATAAAAAAAAAGTTTAGGAGTTACTATGCCACAGATAGACGCACAGACATGTCAAATTACAACAAACCCTTTCTTAGTTTGCGCGGGGCGTAAAATAAGAATAATTAAAAAAAATTAACGAAAAATATGAAGGTGATGAATGTAGGATGGTAGATTACATCCAACATCGTTCCGTAATAAATATTTTAGTTCAAAATCAAAACATATTTTACTTAATCATTCCTAACTGTAGACAATGTTGTATAGTTTTTGTAATTAACAGATAATGCGGTAGTAGCAAGGCTTCGGCAGTGAATTGTCTTAATTGACCACGACGGCATAAGTGACCTAACTTCATCCTCCTTTTATCTATATTGTTCACTAGCGCATTATTAGATGCAGTCCAGATCACTATTTTATCATCATTCACAAAAAAGGTTTCCAATATTTAAGAAAGACATACTATTGTTTAACTGTTACTTATTCAGGTTAATCTAGCATATGGCTGGTAGCATATTTTGACACAGTAACATAGGTGTTAGCAACTGTGTCTTCTTCCTGCATAACATTACTTCCTTATGGTCAGGTGGTCCTACGTATGTATGCAAATATTTACGGCCTTTAAGATTCGATTACGCAGTTAAAATAAATAACATAGATGTCGACGGGCGACAGTTGTTTGTGTAATGTCTTTGCTAAAAGGGATATTCGTCGGCTGATGGACAGATCGCAACACCGGCTGTTGGCTGACAGTTTACGTTTGGCGGTCGCTTCGTCTGCACGCCGCTAATTCCTGCAATGCAGAATTACGTCAAGCTGTCAGTGTCTTGTTCTATTTGTCTATACATGTGTAACTATCAACAGTGTCACTTTAGTGTTATAAACAAAGAACCATACTGAGTGACTAACTCACAGCTAAGTGCTAACGAGGCAAACGGTGATCAACGCATTTTATTCAGTTCCCGAGTATATGCTTGATGAATACTGTTTTTGTATACAGTGATGTGGTGATAATCCAGCAGATACGGTTTGATTAAAATAAAGGGTCGCAGTTCTTCCTCACATGGTATGCATGTTGAATAATTCATTAGAATGTAATGAATATGTAATAATAATGACACCTTTATTTTGCGTATAAAGGTTCGATGAGAACAGAATTTTAAAAAATGTTTCAAATTAAATCTTCATATATACCTTAATATGTCAATTAAATTATTTAAGATGAGTATGTATTTATTACTAATTTTAATTTTAGGCTATATAGGTACTACAAAAAATCAATAGAAAACGTAATAAGCTATTTAATTCTGCAAAACCTGGCTTGTGTCAAGTCTTTCTTTTGTTTTTTTTTGTTTGAATTCGTTATTAGTTAAACTATATTATTTATCCGCAACAATTGAATGACTTTACTGCCCATTATCAGTTGTAGTACATATTGAATTATTACGTCAACTCTGGATATAATGGAAACAGGCAAGATTATCCCAATGATCCTGCTTTGCATTAGGCAATTTATTTATATTAGAATTTGTAATATACTTGTATGTATTAATAATAATATAAATTTATTAAGCAAACATTAGTATACATTAATTTAAGTTGGCAGCATGTATACATGTACACACACGTACATATACATATATACACGCAGACACTCCAACATAGTAAAACAATTAAAATTAGTAGTACCTACTTATTTATTGGAAACAAAATACATTTCAATATGAGTTACTGATTAGTAGTATTAAAAAGTACTTGTATAATTTAAATTACCTCTTTAACTGTATTCTTTAAGGAATTTCACTGAAAATATTTAAGCTTTTTTTATTATTGTCTAAAAAAATTTGCATGTCTATGAAGTAGGTACATGACAATAGGTACCATACCGTATATGCTACAAGGCCGAATCGCGTCTGCCTTGATTTGCTTTAACGTGGGTAGCGGTTTGTTTGGAATATCAGGACAGTAGAAGGATTTTGAACGCCATAATAATAGCTATTGTTTCTAAAAATTGTATTCCATTGTAGAAATTCTTTTCTATTATTTCTATCACTCACAAAATGTACCCGTAAACATATATTATGGCTTTTGAATGAAAAATAAAAAATATTTTCATAAAGTCACTATGCATGTTTCTATTTTTAAATTGTGGCACTTATGAATAGAGTCACTGGGTTTAATGTTTACAATTTATCCTGTGGA